ATACAGGAAACTAGAACTGTAGTGTGTCAGACAGACAAACACACTAGTTTATCTCGTATTCGTTATAGTTAGGTATAAAGAAACATATGTATATCATAGTCGCTGAAAATTAAGTGTACTGATTTTATTTAGAATTTTACGTAATTGCAATTTGTTTCTACTATTAATTCTTAATATGCTAATACTGTGAACCTAAGCTGTGTACCCGCCAAATTTAAAGGTTACGTACAGACCCTTAACTAGGTTCTTAAGATTAAGAAAAAATTTGTACAATATCGGCTAGAAATACTTAAAATACTGACATATACCATAAGATACATTAATAACATATTAATTAAAAACTTTTGGCATATTGTTAAACAATTACTAAGGTAAACATAACTTGTGTTTTTTGTACTTAAAATTAAACTACTTAGTAAAATACTATACTTACATGAACTGGATACATGGCACTCATTTAAAACACATTGGTAAATTATCCAGGACTCCAGTTCAATCATAGTAGAAGCTGTCATTGTCTTAGCTTAATAAAGCAAGCTTTTTCACCAATTTAAATTAGCAAATATATTTTATTAGATAATTTCACTTAAATTCACCATAAAATATAGTTTTAAAATTCGAAATAGTGAATAGTATGAGCAAAAAAAAATTTAGCACATGAGTTTTTAGAATCCCATTGTTTTGATACCGCCCACGTTAGCTCACTATTATTAATACAATATTACACGTATAAAGCGACCCATGTAGTACAATCACGCAATGCAAGTACACTGAAATTTAAAAGCTCGCTCAGACTCAGAGTGACGCGAACGTCCTACGATGACAACTGACAGTGAAAGATCTTTATTCAATCTTTTGACATTCCACATAGAATATGACACCAAAAATTTTAGTTCTATAAATTTAGTAGTATTATTTATTTCTCCAGACCTTATCTTTGTATTAATAAAAAATAAGTATTACTGGTATCATAATAAACTTAAATGTGAAATTCTTATACGAACACTTCTTTAGGCGCATAAGGGTAAAAATTCTACGGATGAAACGCAATAATAATATTAGCGTCGAAGATGTACAGCGTTTTTGTCGAATAAAAGGGAGAGTGTGGTTGAAACTTGAGACTGATCGAGAGAGAATAAGAAAGGGCAAACGTTCACTGAAGCAAATAGCCATGGAGCGAGAGTTGGGAGCAAGCAAGTAAGAAAGATCGAGAGAGAGAGTGAGATAGAGCGAAAGTCGCATCACGCACAGTGCCATGGAGCGACAGGTGGGAGAGAGCTATAGTGAGAAAGATTGAGAGACTCTCTCTCTCTCAAGTAAGGGAGATCAAGAAAAAATACACGCTATTGGTTAATGTATTCGTTTAGTTGTTACGTATACATATTAGAACTATAGATGAAAATTCTGTCAATGTTTTATGCAGTAAACGCAGATTTTTTTGAAGTGAAACTTCTTTAGGCGCGTGAGGGTAAATTTTTTTACGGATGAAACACAATAATAGAAAAGAAGTGCGTGCGTACAAAGTACCTCCTCCTACCTAGTAGTCAGAAATGAAGCTTCTTTGTAATTTAATTATTACTAAGGTAAATGCCCTAATAATCATCTATTGTACTAGTATAATTATGATCACTCCATGTACATATTTGTGTATCTATATTCACACAGTGTACGCACTGTACACGAGTAATAAATAAAAATGTCCACAATATAAAATATTTATTTTACACTTGAGTCACTTGACGGTAGTCAGTAAATTAGTCGACTCGACGATGACAAAGCATGCCTGTAAATAAGGTCTTCGCCTGTCTTATCCTAATACTCTTTAGATTTATTTCGTCGGAGAATGAATTGAAATATAGTTATAAAAATTTGACATTTGTTTACATGTTTACAGGCATGTGGCGTTATAGGAATTGGTGTGATGCCATGTTGCGTAGAGAACTGTTCTAGCGATTTTTTAAAATTTTATGAATTTTAAGTAGAATTTTTAAAAACCAACAGAATTAAAAATAACAATTTTTATAGGTTCTGTAGAACAAAGAACACTGAGGCACTAACGCTGGGAATGGGCTGGTGACTTTACCAGACCACTTGGTCGGGGCTACGAGGCACCTGATCGAGGGGCCGGCTTTCTACCAGATGAACAGACGAATTTGCAAATGACTGCAGGCGAAAGATGGCTGGAGATATAAAAAAAAAAATGTGGAATTCTTTGTAGGAGGCTTTAACCCGGGTAAATACAGCAAATTATTTTGAGCATTTACTGTTGTTCACTAATGTCTTGAGTCGTATATGATTTGTATTTTTATGGTATAAAATTAAGCTATAGTATTATTATTATTATAGGTTCTAGTCACTTATATATAATCTGTTATGTTTCTAAAAATCTTATCAAATAACCCGTTATGCAAAACCTTATATAAGTTTTTACATTTACATAATTTAATATTTTTATGTTAGTATTATTTTAAGGGCCAGTCTACCTTATAATAGGTACGATACACTTCTACGATATCGGTTTTACTCTGTAAAAGTCATGTTTAGGGTCTGGAAACGCGAACGATAGATATGTAATATTTGGTATATTTGGCCTAAAGGTCTAGATACCAGGCCATAAACTCCAAAAAAAAAAAAAGAAATGTAATATGGGGTGACAGCAGTCAGCAGACAGCAGATAGTTGTCAAATGTCAATTACAATGGCTCGCTTCTTGTGTAGAGAGTGGTCATCTTGTAAATATTGTTAAATTTATAAAAATAAATAGCAGCTCTAATTATACATCAGTTATCGTTATTTTCCAAAAAGTGTTATTTAAATTTGTGATAATAACTTATATGGATAAAGTGCTATAAAGTTGCTCTTGCCCAATCAGGTACCTAATTATTTATTTTGTGCGTAGATAGAATGTTGTACTTATAAGTTTTTATGGCAGAAGGTTGCTAATTGTATTATATCATCGGAACGTTGCAATTCTGTACATCTATGGACTATGACCAGTAAAATAAATATTGTTGTTGATTGTACCTGACCTTATACTTTTCTGATGTTATATTACTTTCTTATTTAATTTAACATTGCAACCTTGAAGTTAAAGGATATTAATGTTTGGAGTCATTGTTTAAAAACGTAACAAAGATAAAAATAAAGTTTGTCTCCAAAAGAATGTCTACTTCTTTTCAGACTTATTTAAATATTATGTTTGAGTAGCTGCTTTTTACTATTTAAACAGTATCTTAATAAGCAACACTACTTCACGGGTCAATTTTTGCCTACTATTTTACTTATTAATCATGTAATTTAAAAGGGATAGCTTTTTTAATTCCTGAAAAAACTGGGATTGTACTAATTGTTTTTATTAATTGAGAATTTATTATAATATGTCTTACTGATAGCTTAATAATATCAATATGAAAATGCATATTGTATTTGAAATATTTCCTAAATTTTGAATGTACTTTAATGTTTTAGTAAATAATTATTTATATCAAAATTTGTCATCTGATAAGATCTAATCAGTTAGTGTAACAGTTGTTAACATAGTTCTCTTAATATTTAATGAGTCATGCATGGCTAGACATGAAAAATTCTTCTAATAAACAAAGGAAAAGGTCTTTATTTTAAAATTACAAGTTTCTATGCCAACATTCATTGCCATATTAAACAGCAGCAGAGAGCTTGTAACATAGTTATAAGAACTATTTAAAACTTTGGTACAAAAATAAGTTATTTGAATTATTAAATAATAATTTAATATACCTACAGCTGAATTTCATCATTAAATGTCAAGGTAGAATGCAAAATTCCATCCTTTTTCACCTTGACATCTGGCGTTCCACAACACAGTGCTTTTTAAGGCACTTTCTGCCATGTTCCACCCCTATTGAATACGATTTAGGGGCTTTCAAGGAAAGAGTGTACCATTCCTGCAAAAGTTGGCAACACACCAGCTAACCCCTGTTTGTCTCCTGTCCCATACAAAAAAAAGTGTTAAATTACAAATTCATTCATAAGATTTTGTTTGTGAAATCGTCTGTTGCTACAAATTTAACTTAACAATGCTTTCTTTAAAATTGATCAGCTCACTACCAAATATATCCAGCTCTGGATAAAAAAAATTTAATCCGTTGTCGTTAATTGTGAAGATTGAAACTAAATCAATGAATGAGCTTAATAGTAAAAGTTGATGTTACCTATTTTATCATATATGTATATTAATACAATTTTCAATAATAAATTGTATTAAATATTGCAAATCTTATAAAAGTTTTGCATTATTTATAATAAATTGTATTAAATAATGCAAAGCTTATCAAAAAACAAACAATTGGATATAATAGTAGACCATAATGCAAACTTTGCCAATAAAATAATTGAGAAGAAACATTCTATATATGTAAATACATAAGTGAACAAGAAAACATGACTCAAATCTCTAATTATTTCTGTAAGTCATGGATATGAGAGCAGATCTTAAAATATGGTCACAGTCCAGTAAAGCAAGACCCCTGCCCTGGTTTCAATCATCGTTAGTGCATATAAAAATCTTAAAGTAACATGGTTTGTTAGTTTATGCTGGTTGTGTATTTATAGACTGATACCTATTTTGAGCGTCGTGTAGGCGGTATATGTCACCGCCATAATGCGTGTTTATTCCTTGATTTCATACTTCATATTTGGTCTTGGCAGACTTATTGTAAACAAATATTCAGAAAGCGTTGGTTATATCCGTTTAAATAAATAATTCTTTGAACATTTTTATAAGGACTTATAATGGCTAGTAAATTTTTATCAGAATTTCTATTCAACTTTATCACTATTATACCCTAGAAATCATATAACTAACTCACAAACATATCGCGTAAAATCCTAAAAAAGAAGTATAGGCCGGATGTTTGAACTATTTTCTTTGTTAGTGTATGGTAGTAGCAACGGCTTATGTTAATGATATCATATCAAAATATTCAAACACTAAAGAATTCTTTTTGTTCCAGGGTTAACACAATGGTGATAGAAGCTGCCACTGATAAACATACAGACGGTAGTATTTTATTTTTATTGGTTTAGCTATGTATCCGAAAATAAGAATAGTTCATTATTATTTTACTAAGAAAAACTTCAGTGGTAGCCCTAAGTAAGAATGCTTCCGTACCTCGGATAAGCACATTAAACCATTAGCACTGTGCTCCGTTCTTGTCGGACATCCGTCCTTTTAGTGTTTAACCGTTATAGAGTCATCATCAGGTGTACAGCCCCTTTAGGGCCTTAGCTTCGGTCATTAATTTATGTCGTCACAATCTATCTGAGACATCTTGCGTCTAATTCCGAACACCTAAGATCACGAGTTCCTTGGCAACCTTCATAACATCGCAGTCTCGATCTACCGGGGTTTCTTCTTACATCAGCTTGCGAGTCATAGAGTAGAGAGTGGAGTTGTTTCTCTGTGTCGACATTTGTGCACTGTGTTAATATCTCATGACCAGTCTATTAGCCGCTGTGGCTAAGTTCTAATAAAAAACAATCTAAGATAAAGGTAAACCTCAATTGGCTGCATTTCCTGAACATTATGCATAGTACATACCTATTATACTTCAAACTATTTATCCGCATAATCAACGGAAGTAGTGAAATAAATAACCTTAAGAATACTAAAAATTTTGCAATTGAATGGTCCACCTACGTGTTAGCGATAGGACCTTGTTATTGACTACGTTTTTATGATAACGCGGAAATTATTTTAACTTTCCAGAAATATTTCGTTGAGATGTTATCTGTATTAATGGAAAGTTATACAATTTGAGTATCAGCCCAAATCTGCAGTACAATCGAAGCATTATGCCGTGACGGTATTCATGTCTATCGCATCCTGTCCACGCTCCATCGGCCCCATTGTGAATCGAAGGCTCCATTTTGTGACCTACTGAACAGCAGTGCCTTTTGGTATCTACTTCATGATGCGTAATAATTATAGATTACAATGTTTTAATGCTTTACTTTTAGTACATAATTGTAAAGGGTTATATCATATATGTAAGAGACGGTGCTAAGTTTCGTAAAGGGACCGTGTGTACTAGGGTTCGATTACCGGTCGAAGCACAGATTAAGAGCCTCGCTTAGGTTGAAACATTAATTCAGTTAAACTATAATCCTGTGTAAGTACTACCGCGCTAAGCATTTAACATTCGCTCGGACGGTGAAGGAAAACATCGTGAGAAAACCGACATGTCTTAGACCAAAAAAGTCAACAGCGTGTGTCAGGCACAGGAGGCTGATCACCTACTTGCCTATTAGATTGAAAAATGATCATGAAACATTCAGAATTCTGAGACTAAGACCTAAAGATATTGTAGCGCCACTGATTTATTTTTATTTAAGTCCCTACGGTTCCTGGGTCATCGAGGTGCTTTGAATAATAGAGGATTTTTACTCTATATTAACCACTCGCGACCAACAATAGAATATAAGCGTAATAATGAAATGTTAATTGCTATGTAACGAATGAATGCAATGTAACAGTCGAAGAGTCCCTTTGTCTGGCTATGCTCTCGGTACGCGTTGTTATTTCAGTGAAAAGGATTGCGGCCTTTGGGAATTGCATGACAGGCTTTCATGAATACTTATTAACATTCAACTCATATTTAGCCCCTGTTCAGTATTTGACTTATAAGTGTAGAGTACTCTAATACAATATACGTAGCATACAAAAGAGCAAGTGAAAACAATTTATAGAATAAGTCTCACGATTCATATTTTGTTATGGGTCAACAATCTAATACAAATACCGTCTTGAATGCATCGCTGTCTTGTGTACAAATGCTAATCACTTAAATATTGCGTAAACGCTTACTATACTGACTATAGATAAAACCACATTACTTAAGTCTTTTGCATCGATCTGTTAAATAAGCATTTTAAAATTCAATCAAATTAAATGCTAATTTGCAAATGGCATCACATTCAAACAAGTTTGTATATTGTATAACATTGAAATTATAAGCATTGTTATATAAATTTTACGTAAATTTATAAACATGCACAGTGGATTGTGAGTAACCGTTTTAAAATTTAAAATTAGATTAGCACACATCACGCTGACCCAGAAACATGTAGATTTTTGGTACAATGTTTTTGGCATCTTTGTTTTATTATTTAGAAGTGTTCAATGCTCTCTTCTATTCCATACACATACTAATATTATAAAGAGGAAAGATTTGTATGTATGTTCATAACGAATTGGCTCAAAAAGTACAGGACCGATATTAAAAATTCTTTCACCATTTGAATGCTACATTGTCATTGATATTAAAGAATATATCATCGTTTAAAAAAAAAATTTCCACCCGTGCAAAGCCGCGCCGCTAGTCACTTATAAAACATATGTTAAGACAATAAGAATTTTGCATTACATCTGTCTTGAAATTAATGATTAAATAAATGACATATTATACATTATAAACGTTCAAATGTTTTTCATATAAATTGAAGCCAAACAACATAGTCGCTAGTCAGATTAATTCTAATGTACATTAATTTTTATTGAATAACTTAAAAATAACATTTATGCGCGAATAACGCTTAGTTAATGTATAATTTTATACCCATGTAATCATATATTAGGTAGGTATTATAGGTTTTATTATAATAGTAAAATAAGCGAAACAATAAATAGTTAAAATATTTACGAGGAAGTACGTACATGTAAATGAAGCGGAAAATACTTAACAAAATAGGTCTGTCCTTGAAATCTTAAGATGTTATCCGATCTTGGCCCCATTCAAATACTTATCCTCGCAAATCGATAGCTCTTCATTTCTACAGCCCTTGGGTTTTGAGAAATATATTTCTCAAGGGTTTTAGGGAATGTTGGTTTGAAAAAGTATTCATTATTTCTTACCTTACCAACTAATATCAAGGAAAGAGATAAGTACATTTTACACATACGCGCCTATGTAAAACAACTACCCAGTACTGTAGTACTTAATATAGTAATTTTATACAATATATATTTACAAAATTAGGGATTAGATTTAAGGTATTATTGGAAACGTACTTATTTAAAGCCTTAGCTATTCCTATTATTATTCGTAAAATATCGGCAACGCACTCGCGAGCCCTCTGGCATTTAGAATGTCCATTGGCGGCGGTATCACTTAACATCATGTGAGGCGTCACGGGCAGGAGCCCGTTTTCCTCCTGTTCTTTAAAAAAAAAACATCTTCATAAAACTAATTTATTAACTATTATTATAAAGAGAAAAAGTGATACGATGAGTACTTTAGTTAATACTGCAATTAGACTGTCAAATTTTTATTAATACCCTCGTGAGATACTTTGTTAATTAGATCCTAGTTTGTACGGTCAATGACCAGACTCTTAATATATAAAAATGGATTTGTATTTTTCAGTATTCTCAGTAAACACTGAGAATACTGCTTGCAGTCGTCTAAAGATACATTAACTGCTACGCCAATGTCCTTCTAATATTATTTAAAAAATCTTTTTCAAATAAAATAAAAAGTCACTAAAGTATTTCGTAACTTACATTATAAAATAAGTATATGACGAATAAATAGAGGTTTTATATTTCGTAGATCGAGTCACGTTACGGCCTAGGGCGGGCGGTGACGTAATGACTCCAGAACGATCAGTCAGCACTTTAGACCTCGCTATGTCCTACTCAGCACCGTCTAATCTAGTGCTTACACCGGCTCCAGAATGTAAGTATATGTACCGAATAGATAAGAATGTTATGTTGACAGTTTGTTAGAAAATCGTTACTATAATGTTTATAATATAACTATATTTTTTCGTTATATTAAATAACTTTCAAATTAAAAAAAATTCAGTTATTGTAATCAATTATAATCTTGTTTTATATTCTATACGTAGTCCATGATAAATTATTTTATGACAGATCGAAGTTCGATTTCCAGCGACAATAATTGTTTGTTTTCAAAAATTTTCCCAAAGACAGCATTCTTATCTATTTGGGAAAATTATTGATCGCACTATTAACAAAACACTTATTTAAAAAACTAACATATGTATATGACTCGGCTCGACTTTGTTTCATTTGGCCTTCAGATTTCTCTACAATATATTTGTGAGCAGTCGTTTAATAATGTGCTTGTAATCGTAAAAAGTAGACAAAAGTAATTCTAAATTCACAGGCAACACTAATGTGGTTAATCAATGTAAGAATTATTAATTAAATTAATGTATATTAGTGTTTACTTTAAAATAATTTCAGGTCGAAAACTCTCCCGAGGCATATCACGGGCCACAGATAACGAAGGTCTCGTCTGGGCGTTACGCAGTAACACAGAACCAGACTTGAACACACTAAGCTCAGACCACATACTCCTGTTACCGGATATATCAGTTTATCCTACAGATTTCAGGTAAATTTAATCATAAATGTGTCTAATCTCGTTACGATAGTACTGTTTGTACCTATGTTAGTTTCAACTCTCTGTGTGTTTCTTGCAAAAGCTTTATAGAATGGTACCGACTCAAGTTTCTCATGAAATCTTTCGTTAATATACTATTACGTTAACCATTAAATGTAATGTTCTTGACTTGCATAATTGTGTCGTATTTATTTAAAAACATGCTTCAGTCAAATTTCTTTATTTATATTTGCTGATATTTTTTTTATAAAGATTCATTATTCAACAACAGAAAACCTATTAAAAATCATCAAATATTTCACACATTAATGTCCAGACATGACAGAGGTTATTAGCCTAACACGAAAACAAACGCAGAGTTTAAACATTGCTTTAATTTTATCTATACTCGGATTCCAATATCATGTTAATTCACGGACCATTCTAGAAATAATATTGCAACAAATCGCATTATTATGACTAGAGCACTGGATTTTATATCTTCTGAGTCAGTTCGTAAATAACTTTCAACACTCTAAGTAAAATTTCGTGTCTATAACTAATATATCCAGTCATCGCGATTATCTATTCGCATGTGTTTGGCAATTGGCCAATAGGACACGCCATGTCTGACCGTTAGGGCGTTCGCTTATACGACACTTATAAAAAAATCTAAATACCCTTACTCACTTAACTCACCGATATTCAGATTAAGCATTCTGATAAATAAGCTAGGTCCATAGTTGCTTCCCTCACACTTTCAAATCGATTCTCTTTTTCCTTTAGGTGTTATATTTTAATTTTAATAGAGTGGTAGATTGGATTAATATCTAAGAAAAAACTTGAATTAATATCAAAGCAAAAAATACTGCATAAATAAAAAATAAATAAATAATTATAATTGCATAAGTTCAATAAAAATGCTATGCAATAGCTTTACCGCGGCAGTCCCCGAGTGCCACACGTTTTTTTTTATCTCTTCGTGTATGTTATGTTTACCTATAAGTGCTGGTCACATTAAATATTGTATTTTCTATTTCTTGTACCAAGTTAATTAAGAAATAAATACACTAAAACGTTTGTCTATATTTCTGTACATGCATCGCGAAGCTATGCAACATTGCCTGTAAAAAATATCAATATAAGGAATGATCCAACAAGTTTTGGAAGGCACAAGAGGCTCATCTACTTGGTTGACTAAATGACATGACAACGAACGTTAGCCGCTAATAATTATTCTTCAAACCATCTATTTTTTCCGTACTTCATGAGCAATATTCATATGTAATATTACTATATCTCTTTAATTCATCCATAGATCTTAAAGTTTTTTAATTATTATACTTTAAAATTTATCGTGTATGCGGTGAATTTTATTTTCACCTTGGGTTTTTGGTCAGTCCACTTTAACCTTTTGGGTATATACACAAAACACAAACCTTTATTAAAGCTTTAATACAAAGGGTGGAGAAACCAAGGTTAAAGTGAAGGTTAAACTTCAGCAGTTATTTTTTATTGCGAAAGTAACGACAGTTAACGAATTTTTTATATGCGGCAGTTATGGAGTAATATTTTTTCGCCTGTAGTGCGCTTAAAATTGTAATTTTTATAATTGTTTTAATGTTGTATGACTGATAATTATTGAAAAATATAAATAAAATATATAAAATAAGTACCATGCTAACTTTTCCCTCTACCGTTGTTTATAATAATAATAATAAAGCCACTTTAATTCCATACTATAAAACATTACAATTCAGATGGGTGTTAGTTTTGTTATTATTGACTTAGTCTATGACCTATGTCAATTATTATTATTTCTATTACTGGACCCCTTTTGGGTAAAAGCCTTCTCCTGAACTTTCCATTTGGATATGTCCATTGCTTCCTCAATCCATTTCTACCCAGAAACCTTTATGATGTCAGCTCAACGCTTTTGTGGTCTTCCCACGTTTCTTTTACCTGGTGACTTCGGCGATCCATCTTATCTCTGTACACCTTGCAATATGTAAGGCGTGGGTTAGCGCGTTTGTGATCTTAGTTTTCTCCCTGACAACGCTGTTTAGTATTGTACAGTTCCTGGGTCTTCGAGGTGTTTTAAATAATAGAGGATTTTAGTTTTACTCTATATTAACCACGTACGACAATAGAATATAAGCGAAAAAATTTAATGTTAATTGCTATGTAACGAATGAATGCAATGTAACAGTCGAAGAGAGTGCCTACGTTGGGCTATATTTTCGGGGCGTAACTCCGATGATTTAGGAAATCGCCACGCTTGTAAAACTAAGAAACCCTGAGTGAGCAAAATGTACAACCTTGGCTCGTACAAGTATCTTAAACTATACAGTATTTCTTACGATTATTACGTTTTGCACATTGACAGATACGTTAAAATTGTTATCTAAACTTATTGGCAGTTCTTGAAACTAAACGTTTAAATAATGAAAATTAATTATTCAAATAAGATACTTAGTTGCAATCATGGATAAAATGTAAAATATTTAACAGGATATTTATCGAGAAGGACCTCCTCGAAACAGCTACTTTAGTGACCTTAGAGTCCGCAAGTATTCTCAACTGGTGGCGTGGTCGAGTACCAGGTGCCCCCAGACTCCTGCCGCTAGCGACATCTGGTGATGGTAACTGTCTTCCACACGCGGCGTCGTTGGCAGCGTACGGCTTCCATGATAGATTATTGGCTTTGAGAACTAAAGTACAGACACTTTTGTCAGGGGAGGAAGGACATGGTCTTACAGGTGAGTTTCTAGATTTTTCTTAATATCTATCTTATATTATTTAAATTACATTAATTAGTATAATAATTCGTTTTGACTTATTAACCGTACCATAACAGTCATAGGCTGACGCTGAAAAGATGTTAAAGATGTAGCAGTTAGCTATGTACCCTACAACTCATTAGACCATTACAAAAAAAAACTCTTTATTTAAAAAGCTATTACAAAATAATCAAAAATGTAAACTGAATTCGTAAATTACAATGAATATCAAATGTCAATTTCAAGAATGTGCTACCAGAGTTAGGATTATAATTGTTTGCTAGGCAGGCAATTTTATTAGACGCTTGTTTTGCGATTTATGGTTATACAACCGAGATTTATAAAGATAAACATTGTAAAACTTTACATGACAAGGTAGGTATACCTTAATGTGATGCTATGAAAACTCGTCTTTCAACAACCCTATTTTGATACATTAGTAATAAATTACAAAAATCAACCATGGATTTCCCAATCAATGGTAGAGTATGCTTGGTGAGGGAGAAGTGGAAAGCTCGGAAGCCAAGACTTACAAAACATGTCCAAAGATAACAGAGTTGAGTAAGCGGCTACTTTTGCACGTCTTTGTTACGTGCAACGGATTAGGCGACTCGGGTTTTATTCATTACTTAATTAATTACTTTATGCAGCCACAAATTATTCATACTTATGCTGTTTCAATACTCCGCTGGCGTAGCGATCCAAAGTGAGCGTTCGTCTCCGAAACTAGAGAACGCCATCTAAGACGCTTGCCAATCCGACACTTGAAGCTCGCGTAGATTTTTCTCCACGGTATCTTTACAGCAATATCTGGGCCTGCAGAAGCGTCAGCGGTCGGTCGGCATACCGACTAATACTACTAGCTCCATCTATTGCATTTATGTAACACTAAGATTGTTTAATCTTTATATATATAATTCTTCTGTGAGTGTGTATGTCACTGAACTCCTCTTAAACGGCTGAACCGATTTGAATGATTTTTTTTGTATACGTTTGGGTGGAGCCGTGGATGGTTTAGATTCACAAAACAGCCCGGCAGATGGCACTGCAGTCGGTACTTTCATACTTTGCTTAATATCCTAATCGCTTTAAATATCGTGCAGGACAACGTCTGTGGGGTCCACTAGTTAGATCTGTATTAATTTATTTGATGTATGGTCTTGTCTAGGATTTATATTTAGTCAGTCTAATTAATTAATTGTGTCTTATCGTGTTTATTTAATAATCATATTACCCCAGACGCAATTCGTCGCCGTTGGCGCTGGTCGGAAAGCCTTTCCCTAAAATCGGCTGGCCTAACATTATCTGAAGCGGAATGGGAACGGGAATGGACTGAATCAGTGAAAATGGCGTCAACGGAACCGCGACCGAAACATCAGCCGAGCGCTGCACCGCACTATTCGGGCTTGGAACAACTTCACGTGTTTGCGCTGGCCCATGTTATGAGACGGCCGGTTGTCGTCTTCGCTGATGTTGCTTTAAGGGTAAGTTTCTTCTGAAATAATAAGCCAGTAGACTACAACCCTATATCTTGGCACACATGGCATCCGTTTCTTTCATCATTTTTATTTCATAGACAAGTAGGACCTTCTGTCTGACACACGTCATCGATTTTTGGATACATACCCGTTCATACCGGTCAGATACATTAGTGTATAGCCGAGGATCGAACCTACGGCCTCAGGGATGAGAGCTCACACTGAAGCCACTAGGCCAACTAAGCTCCTTTTTCTGAAATAGTAGAGAATTAAATTTATTATTTAAAAAACTGTAATATAATTATTTTAGGCACTATCCTAATCACTTTCCTATGAAAAAAGAAGTCTCAAGTCGCTGGCCAATAAAATATATCTATATAATGACGATTCATTGGTCTAGTGGTTAGTTCCCCTGACTGCGAAACCATGGGTCCCGGGTTCGATCCCCGGCTGAGACGAACATCGATGTGATGAGCATTTGGTGTTGTGCTTAGGTCTTGGGTGTTTAAATATGTCTATGTATCTTATGTATGTATGTATATCCGTTGCCTAGTACCCATAACACAAGCTTCACCAGCTTAGCATGGGACTAGGTCAATTGGTGTGAATTGTCTTTAAAAAAAAAAAATTTTAGTTGTGCGCACACATTTAATATGTTACATTAACCAGATTTAATTAAATTTTATTATAGATTAAAGAATTTAAAAATCATAAATTGATTATAAACGCATCAATTTATATATAATATTTTATTAATTTAAGGACTTCCGTGGCGATCCCATAGCCCCAATCCCATTCGGCGGTATCTACTTACCCCTTGAACTAGAACCAGCTTCGTGCTCTAAGGCACCAATATTGCTGGCGTACGACGCTGGACATTTCTCGGCACTGGTGCCTTGTGAGCCTCTGCCAAGTGATGGAGCCAGGGTTCCTTTGGAAGACCCTTCGCAGAATCCTTTACCGATCAGGTAATAATTCAATAAATACTGTTGAAAGTGTCTTTAGTCGAGTTCAGGTTATTTAAGTTTTAACTGCAAAATATTCAGTTAAACTGAACTTAACTTATAATAACTTAAAAAAATTTAATTAATATAATTATGTGACTACGAACGTGCCACGTTTGTGTCGCATTCTCTTTCATTTTTGTGGTTTCACGTCTTTAACATTCCTTTGAGGTAACATTTGAGGTTATTTTTTTAAATGTATAATGTAATAGATCCTATATGTATTTACTATTTTGTATACATTCCAGGTTCAACGTTGATCCAGGTGAAGAGTTCCGCTGGGATGTGGAGCCAGATCAAAAAACCATAAACAACCTCCTGCCAGATGAATTTCAGCGGTCCGCCATGTTGGAGGCGTATTTGGACTTGGAAAGAGTGGAGTGCCTCCAAAGCCATCCTCCAGAAGAGTTGAGAAGGTCCTTGGATGCCCTCTCGACTAAGAGCTCAAAGCAGATGAACTCTGTTGCGAAGCAGTTTGGGAGTATTGGCAGGTAATGTTTTAACTGAGTGTTAGCGAGGGCGTTAGTTTATTGATCCGGTATATTTGTGTGTGACTAATATAAGTAATGAGCAATTTGAATTGTTTTAATATGCAATTAGTTGATATATAAAGAAAGTTATTTTATACGATCAAAACAATGTCAATTAGTGATAATTGATTTTACATTTGCAAAAGCGAAATATTCAAATAAAAATGTGTGCGTGTACTAGGTGTACACACGTTAGAAGTGAAACTTCTTTATGATCTTATTAGAAACTATTTCTTTAAACACAGTAAATTTTGATACACTGCCTAGCATACAATTTACAAATTAATTGCTGCAAATTGCGATTAGCAAACTTCAAAGTCAAAAACATACTATATGTCATATTTTAACGCCGATAAAGAAGTTTGACTTCAAAAAGCAACATGGCGCGTAACGGAAAAATGTGACGCGTAACGCAAAAATGTTACACTAAATTTTTTTCCAACCCCGATAAAGAAGTTTCACTTCAATAATGATATCTCGTAAAATTTACGCAATCAACGCTTGTTCTAATCAGATTTTACTATCAAAACAACATTTGAACAACAGAATTTGTGTTGACTATTGAAAATGATTAAATTAAAAATAATAGCATCGCCAATTTATCAAATTTTTACACATTGAGGTTAACTCGTCATTATATGACATGATATTACGTCAAATCACAAACCAACGTGGCGTTTCGTCTTACGTCTTTTGTTTTTTCACATAGAATGTAAAGCTACGGTTTCCTAGAAAAGCGGTGCCGTTATCTAACGGCCGTAATGTAACGTTGGGTGACGTCACCCATACGTTGTCTATAAATAACATCGGAGTAGGTTTTCTAGAGAACGTTGAGTGTCACCGTAACGTCAAATAGCGGTACTGTCATTTGCATGACAGCCGTCATAGCGGTGATAAACAGTAGTTCAACGTTTTTCGCGTGTAGCGGTGCGCATATTTAATTAATACAATGAGTGGAAACGTGACTTGGACGAGCGAAAATGATGAACAAATAATTGATTTTGTTAAAAATCATTAAGCTTTGTACAATATCAAATCCAAAGAGTACAGACAAGCTCAGATGAAGCCAGATTTGTAGAACGAAATGGGAATAACACTTCAAAAATACGGTCGCACTACTTTCTAGGAAACCACGGCTTGGCCACCGTAAAGACGGCCGTTAGTTAACGGCACCGCTTTTCTAGGAAACCGTAGCTTTAGTCCGTACCGTTAGCTTATATATAAGTAAGATTTCTGAGACATTCAGACCATACCAAAATCTGTAGAGTCGTATAGGATTTATAACCCTATTTTCGCTTTGATGTTCTTCTATAATAGAATTTATATTTGCCCACAAATATAAATCTAATGAGCCGGTTTAACTAAAATATATATTATATAAGACTTAAGTTTAAATGTGTGCTTATATTGCAGGTCAATGAGTAGCAAACTGAAAAAGAACTTCGGTTCCATGGCTAAGTTAACTGGGAAACTGAGTGGCAGTCAAAGTAATCCAGAGCATCTGGTGGAGAGGCAGACGTGTGAGGTCCTCTGTTGCAGAGTTTTAGCTGCAAGGGCACCAGTTCAGGAAGAAATGGTCAAGAATTACTTGAATGAGGCCTGGATTGGGTGAGTAATTTGGATTTAGAATTAAATACTGTAATATAACTAATATTATATTAGACACAGTCGACATTATTACGTGTGACGTCAGTAAAATATATTCTCAGACTTAAATTTTCTTGTAATAATTTAAATAAAAGTTAATAATATACAAAAGTATATGGTAGGGGAGCCCACGATGCTAAATGGGGATTTACTCGAGCGTCGTAGAGACCTATTGGGATGCAAAGCTTAGATAATAAGAAGAAAAAAATGTTATATGATATATACCTTTTCATCGGTGGGGGAAGCGGCTATAGATTGTTAAATATGTAAAAAAAAACTGTTGCATGGACATCCTCGAGCGCGTTAGATATTGATAGCATCAATGCCCTACGTATTTTTAATAATGTATGTTAATCTGATCGTTTGCATGATGCGGGTGGTTGTATTTAAGGGTTGAAAATGAAAAAAAAATAAAAATTATCGAGCGCGTCAGATTTTCTAAGGGAGTGTTAAGTGCACCAAAAAAAAGCTCTCATTCACTAATCTGACGATTTCGATGGGACGCAAACCCACGGCCATTTTCATAATTTGCAAAAAAAATCGCAATTTTGAAATACTCAAGCGCGTCAGATTAAGATATATGTGGTTCATCTTTATGTTCTAAACGAACTGTCTCATAATCTGACGATTATCTAGAGGGATTCGCCTGATCTGACAAAAAAAATTTAGAAAAACGGTTCACCTAAAGGGCCATCCCTGCAACTTCCCGCTAATTCCATTCCTGGGCGCTTAAAATTGATATTTTGAGCTCGCTGAGTTCAAAGAAGTAATATTTCTATGCATTTGAGCTCTCCCAGCTCGAAAGTCTGTTAGAAGTTTCATAGAACACTATTTTTGGAATTTTCAAACCGCAATAACTTTTAAATGGATCAAGCAATTTTCACGCGGTTGGCGGCATTCAACGCAGTTTTATCATCCTCATAAGTAATTTTGCAATTTTAATTGATCGAACCGCAAATTTCGGAGTAATCCCGAAAAAACACTTTTTCGGGTTTCTTTCGTTCACGATATCTCTCGAACGAATCAACCGCTTTTGACCAGCTTGGTGGCGATCGACGTGGCTTTTCAAGCTCAAAGGCGGATTAGTTTTTGAAGTTGATCGATAAAGAAACCACTTAAAAAAAAATATTTCTTATTTTTTTAAGATTTTTCAAAATTTCTCAAAATCTATCGGTCCGAATCGGTTCAAATTCACAGGAAATGTAATTTTGAGGGAAATATTTAGAACGCCGTTTAGTAGATTCCGATCGGTTTAAGGAAATGTAGGCATCACGCAGCTGCACGCATTTAACTTTATCGACGAATTTTTGTTATTTCGGCTTGCGGAAATCGTCAGATTATATATTTTTCATTATTCTTGAATTATTTCCTTCAAAATAAAAAAAAAATTAGCTACGCTCGAGACTGTCGAGATGACGTTTTTTTTTTACAACTTTGTTGCCCTCCCCTTTTTTTACGTCACTCTCAAATTGTCAGATTAGTGGAATATACACTTTTTAGGATGTAATTAACTCACCCTACCTTAATCTGACGCGCTCGGGAATTTCTGATGGTCAATTTTTTTTACTAATCTGATCCTGTCTCCTTCACGGGCGGCCTTATATATGGGCCTCATATTTTGTGGAGGTACTTAACCGGGTACAAGGTATCTCCCTATATATTAATCTGCCGCGCTTTAGTAAATCCCGAAATCCCCTCTTGGGCTCCCCTACCAATAGAAGTAATCACTTCTACGTGTCGTTTGGTAACTTAAATGTAAATTGACATCAAAAATCAAATAATTAAAAAAAATATTATAGATATTAATAAAACAAATAAATCCATGTGCAAAAAATATATTTATAAGCGCATTTCGTTAAATTTAATAGATTGTTTTCCTTATGCGAATAAATTAATATATATGTAAAAAAAATCTTGATAAATACAGCGTAAATACTCTAACGAAAGAAAATTATTGACCGTCCCATATACAGTATACACTGTTTGAAATCTCTTTAGTTACACATCGGAGAAGAATCGGAGAGAGGAGCCCCAAATCGCTCCGAGATATGGGACTGGAAGATCGCAGTTTTATACCGAAGCGGACAGAGAATCCCACCAAGCCGCGAATACTCTCACAGCGCGATCCGTCAAACCGGCACAAGTAAGTCATAAGTGTACAATAATCTTGCCTCAGATTTCTGTGTTTTGCTAAAAAAAATTCTTCATCCCTAATCAGCTTTCAGTGTCTGACACTCGCTGTCGTGATTTTTCTTCACAGTACGAGCGTGAGTTAAAAGGGGCACGCTCAAGCCGCTAGCACATTGTATAATAACTACATAAATAGTATAGTTTTTGTTTCGTTAACTAACAAATATTTATTTGAACCAAACTTATTAAATAAATATCATAATAACATCAATGAATTATAAAAATGGTGCGTGTACTTATGTACGCGCGTAAGAAGTTATACTTCTTTGGCTTTCTTTATTTTTTTTAAATATTAAATAATTAATAATAAATATTAAGCGTTAATAATTTAACAATATTTAATATTTAGTATATTATTCAATTATTAATTAATATTAATAATAATTATTATTTTATTATATTATTAATTCAGTTTAATAACTAGGTATGTTTCATAACCTTTTAACTAAGTAACAATAGGTCTTTGTGAAAAAGCATTGCTAAATTTCTTTGAAAAAATAATTAAAACTCCTTTATTTGTTTAAAAGGTACTAAAAATGTCATTATGGTCATTCAAAATTCTTGGCATAGCTGCTAACGTCACGCATATTCTATTTCTTTTTACTTGTAGATTGTCTTATTCCCATCTCGCTCGCGCACTCTCGGCGCCCATACTGATAATTTTGTGTCACGGTGCGCGCGCATCGTAAAATTTCACTCTCATAAATTTTTCATAACGCGCCTAAAGAAGTATAACTTCAAAAATAAATGCCATGCCAATCATAGACTACCATAGATATAATCATAGTATAAGTATCAGTCAACTTGTTGTTTCTTGTCAAGTTTTGACGTGACAACGTCTAATAAACCAATGAACGCACGTAAAAGTATGACTCATTGTCCCGTTACGCTCATTGTACGCATGCACCGTATCTTTATCTTCCACTAGAAGACTTTAAGTATGCATTACATACTATGCAATCATTTCATCAATGTTTTGTTATGACGTTGTCATTAAAACGTTAAACTGTCGTCCGTAAACCGACTTTACAGATAACTATTTTTTATTAATAAAAATTAATATTCCTATTTTTATGTAATATTTATCTATAAAAACATATGAACACAAATATTAACCAATAAGGGAATACACATGAAACACAGTTAATAGTTATTAAACGTATACAATAATCCTTTAAAAGAGACATTAGAACCGATTTTTTTGTTACTAGAATGACAAACGACTGTTTGGTGTGGCGAGCTAAGTTTATTACAACATTAAAGTTATTACAAACAAAATATATACGATACCAAATTATATATAAAAAAATATATATTATTTTTTTATATTTAATTAATTTTCTTTATATTATATAGGTATATGAAACACTATATATAGTTGTGAATAGCACGGTTGCTTTGTATTGTATAAAGTAGAGAAGCGACAGAGCAATCGTCGTATTATGTAAATAATGAACTAAAATCGCGTTTTTAACCGTTAAAGAAATATTTAAAGAGACATCACTTGTAAACCAAAAACTTAAAACATAATCAATCTGTTTCCAGGACAGAACGCTTTACCTGTCCAAATCGACATTTTACGACGACCGGCCCCCCTCCCCGAAGCCCTGCAGGGCTCCGCTCTGCATGTACTACGGAAGCCCCGCCTACAACGACTACTGCTCCAGATGCGCCCAACAACAGTAACTGGCAAACCATATTGGACATGTTATGTAACCTGTGTTCTTAATTAATCAGACAAACATACAAAACATACCAAATTCATTATACAACGTAGAGTAGACATCGTTGTCATGGTTACAATGTTTCTAAAACATGGTAATTGTAACATACACCGTTAGTCCGGCTAAAGGCCGTTTTCTTCTTTGGGAGCGTTCAAGTATTACGTCACGCAATTTTTGGAGATTATTGACACACACTCCCCCCATGTAACGCGCCGTAACGTTTTTCTGTACCAAAAAGTAAACCGTTTCGTGACCACCCAGTGACTCTTTAAATACCTAAAAGTTACCATTATGTGGTGTAAAATACTGGAAAGTCGAATTACAAATAGAAAAAAAATTCGTTACGTAATACTTGAACACTCCCTTTCACATGTGAAACAGTAAACGTGACTAAACAATTTAGCTAAATAACAATAAGTACTTAATTTTCCTGGTGTAATAAACACCCATATTGGAATCTTAACTAAAACTCATCTTAACTTAAATCACCAATCAATGTAAATTCCAAATCGAAACAACTGTTTTACCGGAAAACGAATCCGCTTTCAAATACTAATACTAATACTAAGACACAAGTTATTAATTTATTATTGTAATTCGCGTGTCAAACCCGAATTCATTTATTCATATGTACACTTATAAACGTCAAAATGAAAAAAATCATGTACCTTATAACTCTATTAGCAAGTTTTTTTATTCTTAAATTATCTTCATGGAGGCTTTATTAAGTTAATTTTATAATAGACAAACATTTATGTTTATGGTTGTATGTTATCACAAAATGATGCCCATAAGATAAGTGTTGTTGACTGTATTTCTAAGTATAAGGTTCATTATTAAGGAACCAGAATATTCTTATTAGTTCACGACGGTCAAAGTAACATGTCCAAGACCTTCCTTATCAACCTTGGTATAAGAGCTTTGGAACATCCCATACATAACATAAACTTTATAAAAGAATGCTTGAAATTAGATTTTTTTGTAAAATGAGGAAGTGGAAATTACTATTTTTTAAGTAAGATATTTAATGGGTGTTAAATAGAGCCCCAGATTAGGTTTAATACTCAAAGTATTCAAATTTATAACTTTCAAATTATTGACTCATTTCTTATACAAAGGTTTTTTTTTTCAAAGACCGAACGAAAATAGATTTAAAACTTAACTGATTGAAATAATCTATATATAGATCCTTGTCTATTTTCAGCATTTTGATATGTACTATTACATGATAAAATAACTTTGTTTTAGAATATATATTTTTATAATATAAAAAATATTTTTCTATAGAAAACAGGCTGTAAGAAAATTACTTAATTTAATCCTAAGTTAAAGTATTAACGTAGTTTTAGGAGTTGTTAATTTTTTTTGAGCACTAGTAGTCAGTGCCAAAATTACTTCAGTTTTCGCCAAAATGAGGCACAACTTCCATTGGGTGCTATTCAAAAAATGTAAAACTTCAAAATTGTCCCTAATTTTATCAAATGTTCGAGCCAAATCCCATAACTTTATTATTAGATTTTTTTTTCGTTCCACTTCATGCGTCACAATGGAATCGTATACACGATATTTTTGTTAACAATATCATTATTAAATTAATAACTTTAGATTTTTTTGCTGGTCATATATCAAATTGAAAGCGTCATCCGAATTAAGAGTATTTAATATCTGATTATTAAAAATGTACCGTAAGGTATACCTTAAGAAGTACCTTTTACTCTTTTTTTGAGTAACAATAGGAGGTGAATTGTTGGTTTAATGTTTTCTTTTCTATAAATTCGATATCCTATTGCAATGTCACTATAGTTTTTTAAAAAGTCCAACTGCAAAAGACGACATTTTAGCGCTATCAAAACTGTCACCATAGGGAAATGGTAATTTGACACATTTTGACAAGATATAAATTTACAAAATATACAAAAACTGTCATTCTGAAGGTAATATTTACAACTAATACCTTAAGAAAATTGCGAAAGTTTTGTGTTCAATAAGTCTGTGCCAGGGTGAATTAGAGTAACTGGTATTATTAAAAGTGTGTATAATAATTAAATAAGTATAAATAAAACTGTGAAAACAGTATAATTTAGGGGATATTGATGACGATGAAACACTTCAAACTAGTATCATGCATGATCATATGTTATTTTGTTTAAAAAGTTTTAAGGTTTAGACAGTAGAGAGCTGTCAAATTGTAACTTCCAATTATATGTAATTTTATTAGAAAAGCTTCTTCGCTGTAAGTGGCTATTTTATAGTTCATTATTTTCATTAAAATCATTGTTATCTCTATCGTCTAGATTACCAATATATTATTGCGAAATTGAGCTTCTAATATTTAAGATGTGCCTCCCGTAGTGACTGTCATTCACATACTTTCAAATAGACAATAAAATTTAATGAGTTCCTATATAAAATTAATATTTTCTGAATCAAACCTTTACACTTCGTTCTTCATGCAGCTCTTAGGGAGCGTTCAAGTATTACGTAACGCAATTTTTGGAGATTATTAACCCCCCCCATGTAACTCGCCGTAACGTTTTTCAGTACCCAAGTACAATACTGTACCCAAGTATAGTATAACGTTTCGTGGCCACCTAGTGACTCTTTAGTTACTATTACACCACGTAAGTCGTTATAACGTGTAAAAAATATTAACAATAACGCGTAATTTAATCCCCGCCCCGCATCGTAACGTTTTACAAATTGGAACCCCCCTCCCGAATAACGTTACGTAATACTTGAACGCTCCCTTAGCACAACAAATAGAAAGAATCACATTGATATTAGGAATTGGTATTTTTGTAATTGATAAAAATTATTTTTGTTTGTTCTAAAATATTAATACATATTCAAACAGTATATTATGTAATCAGTACACAATATAAAAGTGTTTAGGTTAACAATATTAAATTGTATGTAAAATTAAAAGTACATCAATAATATAGTAAAGTATTAAGTTTGTTACAATAAATTAACAAATTGTTGGCCCGCCAAACCCCCTTTGTAAGTTCTAAAGTATTTTAAATATTTAAGAGTTTATGCATTTACCGAAAGCCTTGTTAAATGGGCTTCAGGGTAAATGCAATGTTTTATCTTCTAATCTAGTCTTATATAATTTTAAGATTTTCTAAACTATAATTTTAATATATTTGATAAGTGATTTATTTAACTGATCATTTGTCATGGCCAAATACTTAAAATAGAATGTTTAACATCTATTATTGAGGATATTCTTGTTTTAAATTTTGGCCTTCATAACCCACCTCATTTATTGTTATTTTCATAGAACAATATATTGATTCAATCAATGTTTATCCTTAATAGATCTGTGAACTTTTAACTTTAAAATAAAGTGAGATTACATGACAAAACAAATTCTATAAACAAAATGTTAATGTTATATTTTTTCAAAAAGTGTATTACTTAAACTATTTAGAATAGAGTTTGCATATCATGTTTTCTAGCAATATAAATCGTTATGCATTTATTGAGTTTTATTTTCATACTTTCTTATTTATTTAGTATATGTATATAAAAGATGCGTCGAATTGTAATCAGTAAACCTCGTCAGTCGTCATGCACGCATCAGCAAGTTCCTAGCCGAAATTAATCGTATTGTTATAGTGTAGCTGGTAACCCTGATATTTAATAAATGATAGTGAAAGAACCAATTAGTGTTGGCGCACATACAAGTGAGGCATAAATCATACCTCCATAATTCATACCCTAATTTTCAAATGCTCTGATACTACTAACGTTGGGTTAGTTTTAAGTAAAACAATAAACTGTTATTTGGTGATATTTTTTTTGCTACTTGCTTAATGTTAACGATAAATTAAATTAATTGTTTTATACATATCTGTGGGTTTAAAAGATAGATTGATACTGGGAGGTAAAAAATAAATAATGTACTTTAAAATTTTTTAGAGTGTGTAGCACAAACCTCAATAAAACAATGAACAATAAACTATGTATAAAGTTGCATAGACAGATTTAAAACAGACAAAATATTTTAGCTTGCCATTTCTAATGTTTCTTACGCATGTACAAAGTCATTTTCGCAAATTTGATTTAAAAGCATAATATTGTTTTGTAACTATCTATCATAACCTGTTATTAGTTCGTTTAGTTTATCTATGGGTATATGTCACAAGACATAAGTCAAATGTCAATAATTTCAAAAAGTCAAAACAATTTACAATATTTTGCAAAAAGATGCATTTAATAAGTAAATGAAAAGTTTAAAAATAATTAAATAATTAATTGTTAGAACAATGTCCGGAGGTCTAATTGATAAAGTTTATATAGGTCTAGATAATGCACCGGCCGCGTTTGACATAAAATCTCGTATTTTAGGACCCGTAAGTTCATTTCTGCGCTTTCAAATTTATTAATCTTTATAGCTTAATTTACCAGTTATTTTATTGTTTATAGAATGGGACAAATTTAGAATATATAAGATCTGAAACAGGAGTTGTAGCCGTCCTAAAAAGTGATAAATTTGAACCATTACATCTGGCATTGCATCACACGCGATCTGAGGCTTTGGCGGCTGCACGATCTTTGGCACAGAATCTAATTGAAACTATTCGAGCTGAACTCGCTCAGTGGAGTGCCGCACAGGCAGGAGGACCACCACCTGCGCTTAATGTACCGCCTCCTACCTTAACAACAACTGCTCCGCCTCCTGTACCGCCGCCTGTTGCTTCTGTAGCACTATCATCTACGTCAACTTTAAACACATCCACAAATCCTTCAGTAATTCCCCCTGTAGTGAGTGTTGCCCCTGCATCAACTCCATTAATGACAGTTCGGCCACCTACAGTGTTACAGCTTCTTCCCCAGCAACAATATGTTCTTAATCAGGAAAATGGTCAACTAATACCAATAGTACAACCAGGTGTTCAAGTATCTAATACCAACTTTACATCATTACCAATTGCTCAGTCATTAGGAGCTTTACAGCAGCATAATTTTGGTCAAACACAGCTTGTTGATATTTCTAATGTACAGCCCGTTAATGTAACACAATTACGTTTGAGTGGAGTACCATCATCAATGTCAATGATATTGCCAAATGGGTTAACTTTCCCACAAGCTCAATTTAATGGTGCTGATACAACTGTTTGTTCAGCGACAGCTACTCCAGTTGTATGTGCTGCTCAAAGCACCAGTTCTTCTCAAAAAATATTCTACAGTACTGATAAAGGTGATAAAGATATAAGATACCATTTACAAGGATCAGATATGCAATGGACAGTACCGGGTTCACAGACGATGATAATACCATATCAACAGTTTCAAGATCTTACAGCTAATCAAACTGGGTTAACGAATCTGCAACCGCAACAGTTTGTGTCTGTAAGTATACTATAACAAACCTACATTGCCTATTTTATTTACTATTCATATAAAGATTATCAGAATTTCATAATTCAACAAAGGATTGTCATTTTACCATTTGTACTTAATTTTATATTAAAGATTTATTTAAGACATTTCAACTTGCAGATTGCTCCAGCTAATAGTTTTCAGCAAACATTGCCCTTGTCTGCTGCTCAGTTTCAGCAATTACAAGCATCTGGTACCATAATGCAGCTTAACCAAAAGGTATAGTTGTCCTTTTGTTTTATGACAGGTATTTTATTGTTATTTTTGTATCGAATTAAGCAAAAATATTGTTTCTTTAAAAAATAAATAAGGAAATATAATTTGATGAGGTATTTTTTTAACTATGAGACTAAATACAATGCCAGATTATGCATAACATAAAAATCACAGCTTGAAGTTTAAAAAGTAATTCCACCTACAAAGTCCATAAATTTATTTGTTTGCTAACTTTATGAACTTTAATTAAATTAATTGTGTTTTTCAACAGCCCTTAGCAAGCAGTGCTCCTCTTATAAACATAATATCAACAGGACAAGCATCATCACCTCAAATAATATCAGTGAGCAAATGCAATATTTTTATTGATATTAGCATTTCCACAGACTAATTTTCTTTTAACATTGCTTGAATTAATTTTCTGTTTAACTAAAATGTTGTCCTTTTTATTTTATCTCGAAAGGAGAGATCTGATATAGCCAATGTTGCTCATGAAATATAATTTCTAATAACCTAGTCTTATTCATAAACTTAATAAAACCGCAATTGGTTATAAATGTATTTATATTTCTTTATTGGTGGACAAGATTGATAAAGACAAAACATTTAATATGTATTTGATTGTTTTAGAATGTTTATGAATGCAAGTATCTTACGGTAAAATGTGTTTTTGTCTTGTATGTGAAATATGAAAAATTTTGGTTAATGTTCAAATGTTTTTATATGAATTATTAATTGCACATTTTTTTGGATGGTTTTACATCTTATCTGGTAATTCGTCGTTTTTTTAATAATTTAATTTGTTTATTTCATTATTATTAATGTTGAGGGATTTAATATAATTAACCTTATTCTTAAGTTTTAAAACCTTTCTCGATTACTCTTTTCCCACACTTTGGTTGTATGGGTTCTAATTCTTATTCTGACCTATTATTTTAGAATCATTATCATTGTTTCAGCATTCATAAATCTGGGGTTACTAATATGAATAAATTACATTTTATTATTAATAATGTTTGATGCATGACTTTTCTAATTGAGTCAGAGGTTTTAAATTTACTGTGATATTAGATACTCAATTCATAGATTGCAAACATGTCAAATTTCAGACTTCATCCAGTAAAGGCATTTCGCAAGAGTCTCGAGGTCAGAAAAGATTGTCTGATGGATCTCCAAGTCAATTGCAGCTTCGTCCCATTGCACCTGCTGGGTAAGATTTAACATACTGTCTTTTGAGTATATACTGATAACAGGTTAACATCGCATATAATCTTCTTCTATCAATGGCTACAGCAAAAATATAGCTGTCTTTTTAAAATTCTTGACAGTCCTTTTGATCAGAAAATGCATGCAAATTACATACAGGAAAAACATGCAGGTTTGCTTCGGAAATATTATGAAAGTTTGAATTTGACCCAGTTTGATAGGAACACGTAAATAGGACTTAAGTATAACACAAAGATCAGGGTGGAAATCGGAATGAAGATGACGCGGGAACAGGTATAATTGGAGCCCTATAGCTTCGTCTACAGGCTCTCTGCCCTTGTTCGTGTTAAAATCTGTCGGAATGCGTAGCAATTTCTATTTTCTACACTTCATGCCTGTCAGATACATTATGTAATTTCCCACCTGCTTGCTTGCCTGTAGCCAATAATTGTTACATAGTAATGATATACCTTTATGAATTTTTTTAATAAACAGTAATTTTACTAAGGAGTGTTTGGTTTTTGAGTAGTGTTTAAATAAGAAACTTCACGCTGAAATAAATTCAAAATTATGGTAGTATTGAACTTTAGTTATATTAAACACTATATAACTAACCTAACTTCTAGTGAATGTTGTGTATGTGTATTATTGACACAGGTCACATAGCCAGGACAAGTCCTCGTCGAGAGAGGGGCGATCCTGGACTCCAGTTGCAGGTACATTGAAGATTACAACAATACAACTGATACTAGATTAATTTCGCTTAAATAGCGATAGGATACAAAATAGTAGCGTAACGTACCTAATACGTAATTCTAAGCAAATATTCTTTGGATTTCTGTGAGATGGTAGTAGAAGCGTAAGAGATGGCATTTGCGGTTCCTGTTTCAGTTTATGAATATTTAAATGCGTAAATTTCAATCAGATATTACCTTTTTGGCGTTGCTAAACCCTAAAACGTACGCTTTAGCATGTAGAATATTCTCGTATATGCGTGATCTATTAACTATCTACTAAGCATACGATCTTCATCAACCCTTGTCGTTTGTACAATCGAAGATGTTTTCACATCCCACATTGTCGAACAAACGTTGGCAGAAACTCACCAATTAATAGGTTATGTCGCTACCATAATGATATTGCACAGAGTTTTGACATTTTTCACGGTTCTCTGGCCTCAGCTAAGAGTAGAATTAGGACACAGTACCGATAATTTATTTTCTTGGTTCAAATAGTTTAATTCTTTTAGTTTGCATTTTTATTTTTTATGCTTGTTTGTATTTAACACTGTTTTTTGTATCTACTTGATTTCGCTGGTTGTGTCCACATGTTATAGGGACGGCACCGCTTTTGATATTTATGTATGTATGTCAATTTATATCATGTGTTTGTCCTAATTTTGTGGTCCAAATAAAAAAAAACTCTTTTTCTTCCAGATTTATTACAATACAGTTCTAGATATTTCATAGATTTGAAAAAATAGACCTCTCCAGCGGGCTTTTTAATGACACATTTCCAGCAACAACAGACTAATTATATATTTTTTTAAATTGATTTAGATCTACAGATGCTGATTATATTGTGGAGAAAATATTTAAAAAATAAGCGGGAGATGTTTGGAATTGGTGATTTAAGAGCATAAGAAATTAATAATTACAAAACATTCAGGATTGATTGTCTGTATCATCGAGGGACAACCGACGCCGAGTTGTTAAAGCTTTTAGTGTATAGTGATTGAGTATTCTTCTTTTTGTCCATAGAGTTTCATTCTTCTTTATCGATGTGTACTCTACATTATGGTTAAAAAAATGTGTTACATTGAACGTTATGTTAATTTTTTTTGCAGCTAGTAGCCTGGTGTGACTATTCTTGCTTTAAAAATCTTATCTTCTTTTCAATAATGAAAGGCATTACTGGTTTCAGGTTTTGAACGTGCCAACTACTTTGCGATATTGTTTTAAATTTAAAAATAGCGTAAATTATTATTCAACATACGAACAAAGCGTAGTATTTTTTTACTTTGAAATTGTGTTTGACTCAAGATGAAACCGGCGATTTACCAATTGAAACTTGAAACAGCTACGTTGGAGTTTATAGCAGCGTAATGAAGTAATAGAAGAGATTTGTTTTTTTTTTAATTTGACTTAAAGTACGCACTCGCGTAATGTATGTTCCACACTTGGCGTAAATCAGAAATTAGCGTAACATTCAAGAGATATTCCATTAATGCGTAATGTTAAGTGAAGGGTCTCCAATAAAATGATTTCTTCGTGGTGACTTATAATACGTTTTCTAAAGCGTAATTTCGAATCGTTTGATATTACAGGTCGTCAAGCTAACTTCTTGACATTAGCAGTTGCAGAAACAAAGTCATCATGTTGCACCTTCAAATCTGCTTCATTAAACATATATTTTTACGTAATGTCAGACTCCACTGCTTCGACAGAATTGCTGAAACGCAACGCACTAATGAGACATTTTCCATACTTTGTAGATGCTACATGCATAAATAATAATGGACAATTCAAGTCGCCTAAACATCTCTCCCTTCGTTTTATAGTCTTTTTTTGTTTCCAGTTTTAGCCATGTAACATGAAGCATTTTAAAAAATACTCTAGGAATCATGTAATGCAGTAATGGATGTTCCACGTTATCAACAACGAGTGGCTAATATGTCATACTATTAAAGCGTGCTGGTGCGTCTGCGTAGATATTTGCCAGTTTATAATCTTTATATTATGTGTGCATTAAAATAGAACTGTTGAAGGGTTAAAAGTTTCACTATACATAATAGCTGTAACCAGTAAAATTTCCTCAGCTAAAGACAACACGGTGGTCAGTATGGGAATGAAAATTAACCCTCCTCACGGTACCATTATACACGTTTCTTCAGGGCAGCAGACGAAGTAAGTTTTTAAATTTATTTTCTCTATTCGCTATAAATTATAGTTACGGTTTAAGTTGGATGAGATTAGTTGATTAGCACTTAAGGTATTGAAGGTAAACAATCTGTCAATGCCATAACACTCGAATAAAACTAATCATTCTTATTTTTACAGCAGAAATTACAAATACTATTTGCTTATTTACAGTGTATCAGCATCAAGTATGACTCAAGACGGAATGTACATAAAACAGATTGACAGAAACTCTATACACATTCAAGCTAGCAAAGAGAGTAAACATGAATTAACAACAAATAAAATGCAAAATACAGCACAAAACGTTCAAATGATAACCGTACCACAAGGTATGACGGTTCTTCAAAATCCGATAAATATCAGTCAAATGCCCACAATGCTGGGACAACCAAATAGCCAAGTTTACATGATACCCACAAACGCCCAAAATTTGATGCAAAATGGTTTACCGCCTGGTCTTTTCGGCCAACAGGTCCTTCAATCGGGTCAAAACGTTACTGTGGTGCAACCAAACCAATTGGGCATGCCTGGAGGTGTTCAGTACAATATGCCTTTAATGCCAATGAACATGCCCCCGAATTCGCAGTTCATGCATGCGGGTATAAATCTTAATCAACTATCTGCTCAGCAATTAAATGCAGCGTTAGCAGGACAACAGTTAACGAACCCCAATTTAAATGTATCGGGTACGATTCCCATTGTACAGGCAGGTCAACCAACCTCTTCTCCCCTTCCAAATAACCAGGCGATACCAGTATCTCAGGCCCAACAGATCCAACAAATGCTTCCGCAGAACTCTACATTCCTAACACCAACTTCGCAATACCCTGGTCTTCCTCCACATTACATTATGCAAGGAAATTCTGGGGCGATAACAATGCCTACAAATCCTAACGTACAATACACAATACCCCCAAACCAAGAACCACCTGCTGCCCCTGCTAATGCGAATGGTCAATCGACATCGACGGATACCACAGACTCGGGTATTTCAAATAGTCAAAACTATATTTCCTCATCCCAGGAAGGATATGCTCCACCCGCACAGAATCAAACACAAACATTTACCTCAGACGGTTCAACTACGCCTACGGCATCTTTCACTTCGACGACGAGCGTTCCTCAGCAAACATATACAAATGGCTCAACAAACCAGAATTATAATGCCAACCAAACAACCACACAACCACAACCGCCCCCTAGCTATCCCACAAATGGGACCCAAGCAAACGCGTCATATCAAGGAACTACTCCAATCTCTCAAAACACAACTCAAACCAACTTTTCACCCTCAACTACTCCTGTACCAAATCAGAATTATCCAGCGCCGAGCATTCCTAATATCGCATATCCTCCTAACCAAAATCCTTACCCAAATGCGACAGGACAAAATTTGGCAGCATACGCGGGAAATCAATATCAATACACAAGTAGACCCTGGTTTAGACCCAGATATGGGTCTCCGCAGAGTTCTCCATATGGAGCTGGAGCAGTTCCGCCTCCAAACGGCCCACCAATGCCGGTTCCACCGCCCCCGAATAACTATAACTACTGGCAGGACAGTTGAGATTTAGATAATGCAGCGGACATCATTCCGGATTCATAGCAATTACCGCAACCCGACAATATGTTAATAGGCTCCAATGATCTAGTCTACTTGGGCCCGATGACTAATATAACCTATCCTCTCGATGGACTGTACTATAACGAACGGGATCCTAATAGCTATTCATCTTCGAGTCAAATGCATTTTGTAGGGTGAACAAACTATTAAGTGGAAGTAGCGAAAGTTGTGCCTCCGACGTCAATATATCGTGTCAAGATATAAAGAGACTGTTTTAATAATTAGATTAAATTACATTTAAAAAATGTATAGATGTATTTGTATTGAAAAAATATATTATACTAATTATATATATGAATGCGTCTTTTTATTTTTAATTTGAACTGCGAAAACAAAACACAGTGGTTTATTGTTAATGATTTATGTCACTAAATTATTCAAAGTCAAGAACGAAACATGAATTCTGAGAATCGTTATCCAGTTACTGCTTCACTTTTTATGTTGCGTGAAATAAAACAACGCCAAGAAAAAGTAAATCGTGGTTACCAGCTTTTAAAGAGGAAGGCTGAGGCCCTGCGTCTTCGTGGTCGACAGGCGACTGCCGCGTTAGCAACCGTTCAGGCCTTAGTAGGACATTCTTTGAAAGAAGCTTACATATCGTTAGCAGGAATAAAATTTACCAACGGGGAATCTAATGCCTTAGTGTTAGAAAATGTAGGACAGGTATGTACCGTGTTAGAAAATGTACAACTAATTTATATGTGATATAACAACCTTAAAAAAAAGTGTGTGTACTTATGAACACGCGTTAAAAGTTATACTTCTTTGGCGTAACAAGATAAAAATCTTTTCAAAAATTTTATTCTACTTTTGTAGACGACACTAAGAATAGAAAAAAGGTATTTAATACATTTAAAGTTTTATTATAACGCGCCATTATCTAGTTAAATAAAGTTTATTTAGATATCACAAAATAAATATAGTGAATACAGTTGTCAGTTCTCAAGCAAACATACGTAGATGTCCTTACTTTTACTTTGTTGGTAACTTTTTTGAAAAACCAAATTGTTGTAGCTAACTTCAGGGTGTCGGTTTTTTGTGACAGTGTGCGCGCAAAAAAAAATTTACTCTCATCAATTTTCCCTAACGCGCTAAAAGAAGTATAACTTCAAAAAGATTTTTAAAATATTCGATAAGGAGCATAAATAAAAATTCTGGGCCTTCAATTGCATGAAAATGATATATGCGGAGATTTAGTTCAACGCTATAGTTTCAAATTGTTGAATATGTTTCAACATAACTTTATTTATTAAATGCTTTTTTAAATTTAGGCGCAAATCCGCGTACAGCGTATTTCGGAAAATATATCAGGAGTCCCAACGGTTTCATTACAAGCCATTGAGGATCAAACTGCTGGAGATTCTTTCCGATACGCAGGATTAGGAGCTGGAGGCCATCGCACTAGTGAGACTAAACGAGCGTTCAGAGAAGTCATAAGGATCCTCATAAAATTCGCTTCGTTGAGAAACATTTGCCTTTTGTTGGATGAAGCTGTAAGAACGACCCTCAGGTTAGGTACAAAGTGCATCAGCGCAAAATACCAAAATTCAAGTCCTGATTATAATATTCCGTGATGAGTCAGGATTCAGGCACATAATATTATCTATGACCATATATTTCCATGTAGGAACTCATTCGAAAATTGTTCCTACGTATTTTCTGGTTATCCAATTATCCATAGCGCCAAAAACTACTCTACTATTTTTCAAAAACAAAAAGTTTTTTTTTTAATTCAATTTGATTTGAAATTTAATTTAAATTTCGTTTTGCCCTCCAACCCATAGATAATTAGTATGTAAATGCTGGTTATAGAATCTCCAATTACATCTTTACCTGTTATATATTATATTATATAGTGTTTTCTATAATATTTCAGAAAGGTGAATGGAATAGAAAAAGTTATCCTGCCTAAACTTCGTAATACTGAAATTTATATTTTGACTGAAATGGATGAAAGGGTATGCCTAAAATCCTTGAAACTTCGTAACTAGTTGAGTAGATGCTAGTGTAGGTACACGAACACGACGGAAAATGTGGTAGATATAAGACCAAATATATAATTCAATGTAAATTCTGTCATGTTGGACAAAACAAATTTTAAGTTGGATTTTTTTAAACTTCCGGTAATATAGAAAAATACTATAAAATATGAGAGAGATGACGAATTTTTTTTTCGATTAGGAACGTGAAGAATATCATCGTTTAAAAATGGTTAAGGCTAAGAAAAACTTTGGACGTCTTCTGCCCAATCGCACCGAGAGGAAAAAGTGTGGCGATATCGATATTCCTGTTGGTATGGTGATCTATATTTCAATCCACTAAGTCGGTTGAATTTAATCCCGCAGGAATTAATATTAAAACAATTCCAAAATAATATTATATTAATTGCTGAAACAATCATGCGTTATGTTGTCATTTACAGAACTTTCACCTTCCAAATCTCAGACCGATTCTATCGAAATTTTAGAAGTGAAGCCCGTGGGAGTAGTTTCTACAGCGTCTGTGTCAGCAGGAGATTTTAAACCAGTTTGCCTTCCACATTACTGGGATGATGAGGACTTATTATTTTAATTGTTTTTTTATAGACAGTGTAAACTCTTTATAACGAATTTTAAAGGACCGAGCCTTTTTATCGTTATAGAAATGATTCGTTATAGGGAGAGAAAAATTAATGTTCAGGTATTGGGTTAAAGCAAATAAATTTAACTTATTTTACGTTATACAGAGTTTCGTTTTAGCGAATGACGTTATAAAGAGTTTACACTTTTTAAAAACTAAAACCTGTAATGTGTAGCGAAATTATTAATTCTTACGGCTGTATTAAGTAAATGTATAATTTAGACTTAAATTTAAATACAATTGGTTTCGAAATAAAAGAATTTGCTAATTATTAGGTACTTTTAATAATTTCAATTACAAGACCCAGCCATTGTCTAGTCTCTCCTCCATTGGTTTTGTAAAGTACTGGCATCTACGAAACTTCTCCAGAATTTCGCCCTGGTAAGGAGTCAAATGGGATTAGTTAGCTCAACTAAGATGAGGTAGATACTCATACTACCTACGTATTTTAAATATTTAAAGGATGGAAAAATGGTTTGTATTCACCCTTGAGTAATGAGTTTAAATTTTGTAAAAATGTAAAAGCTGGTCTGCGTATATGAAGCCACATTTACTGTAGTAATATATAAATAACTTACTGGTCCTGTCTTTTTAACGCTTTCGCTATAATAAGTTATTGCGCTGGAACCCGTGCCGTATAATGGATATTTCAGATGCATCTGTAATTTACTAACTCAAAATTAAAAGAGAAATTTCTTTGTCTTTAAGGATGATATTCAGAAAGGAAACTTAGCGTGAACAATGACTACAGTATGTCAAAATCATTTTCGGCCTACGACAATCAGACTTAGCGCTAAAATCAAGATAGTGATATTACATTTTTATCCGCAGTAATTTCCAGGTTTCGTGGTTCAAACTGCTCCTTGATAAAGTTAGACTCGTACTCTGTGCAATAATCGGCGACAGGCTGGGAGGTGGCAAGTTCTTCAATTACTTCATCTAACATTTGCTCCCAAAAGAAATCCTTTAACATTCGCTTTCGAATACCTTTAATAATATAGAGTTTACAAATTAACAAATTAGAGGCGTCAATCTAAGATAATTTACAGCGGGGCTCTTGATCCAACTTCAAATACGCAAATGAGCTATGTAAATATATCTTCTTCTCAGGCTTCTTCTGCATATTAATGATACGTTGCAACTTACCAACATTCATTGCTATGCGAATGACAGCACAGGGGATACTCTTTACACTGGCTATGCAGGTATTTCTGTCAGTTGTCGATTAGTACCGAAACGATAACAACTGAAGTATTTTCAAACCATTTCGACTTGGAGTCCTTCAAGAAAAGAGCGTACCGATTCTTAAAAGGCCGGGAACGCACTCGCGAGCCTTCAGGCATTGAGTGCCCATGGGCTGCGGTATCACTTAACATTAAATGAGCTTCCTGCCTGTCTGCCCACTATTCTATAATAAATACATATTTATGCAGACATTATGTACCTTCTCCTTTGGGTGGTTTCTTTGGAACACAAAAACTTTCTCGCATTTCACTGCCCGATTTTGGAACTTCTCGACCATCCTGTAATATCCAAGGTCGGCTAAAATTTTTTCCCTTCCCATAGGCTGAAGGTTCAGGAGGCACTTTTGGGTTTAGTTTAATTCTTTCTAGTGGTCTTAGTTTTATTTCAGTTTCTTCATCTGGTGGGTCAGGTAAATTTGCTTGAATTTCTTCGTTTATTGATTCCATTATTAATAATCAAATAGGTATATCACAAGATATTCGAAAGTTAAGCCAAATTTGTTATTCGTTGTCTAGGAAATAAAACGGACTCAAATGTACCGTGTTTAGACTAATTTAAAAGCATGATAGTCTGCACTCTGCGCTACATCTACATCTGTAATTTAATGACACGGTGTTGGAGGTGTATTTGTCACTGTCAAAAAATCAAAATATTCAGATTTCAGACTTCCGATTTCTGATTACAGTTTTACAAAAATAAAGGCCGTAAAATGGCTGAGGCTTGTCAAATAGTTCGAAAACAAGATTTACCACCTCCTGGAGGATACAGACCTATTCCATTTAAAAGGATTCCCGCCAAATCATATTTTAGTGGTAAGTTACACCAGTAAGACTGTCTACTAAGAAAATCCAATATTATGTAACCGTTTTAGGTTGTTTTATAAATATTTACCAACGACAATTGATATTTTCCTATCCTACCTATAAAGATACTTGCTAGTAATATCATTAAACAATGACTCAATTTTCAGAATTAACGTAATTTTTAAGGCTGAATCAAGCAGTCTTAATCTGTATTACTCAATTTTAAAATGTAATTTTTTTCAGGTTTAACATGGATAGCTGGTTACATTGGTATGACCACTGTGTCTGCTTATCTTTATTATTTAAATTGCAAACAGGTTAAAAAAGCTAAAATCGAAATGAGATCTGCAAAGATGGCAATATACCCAATGTTGCTAGCGGAAAGGGACCGCGAGTACATGAAGCAATTGCGTAGAAACCGTGATGCTGAAGCAGAGCTTATGCGTAATGTCCCTGGATGGGAGGTAAAATGTTATTTTGTTAGATAGCGATATGTTAAATTCAAAACTTAAAATATATTTTTATAAATACATTAAGTATATCTATTAAAGATAATTTATTTCTCAGGTTGGAACTTACTATGGTGAGCGCGTGTATAAGTTAGTGCCACCAGATGCACTAGTTGAGCCAATATTCCATGAATTCTATGCTCACTCTGACCCATCTGCCTGGGTTGACAGAACTGAATTAAAGCTGCGGTCTTAAATCTGTGAGTAATCCTTTGAACTATAAGCAAGAGACTTCGCTATATATCTTGCAGTTTATCAACATCTGTATATTTATTGTAGTTAAATAATAAAGGTAATATTAAAACACTGAAATATTTTTATTATTCTTATTCTTAGCTAATAGCTTATTCTTTTTACACATTTTGTTAGTATGTAAGAAAGAAACAATAATATATTTATCTTTTTATTTTAAAACAAAAGAAAAGTAACAAAAAATAAAATAATAACTAATTTATTCCATTTGTCATTCTTAGAGGAAGAACAAATATTGTAAGTCCTTACAATCTAAAAAACTAACTACAATATCTTTATTATATCAAAATGCACAGGGTAATAAGCTAATGTCTTTGGTATTTGGAAATAAGTCACCAACTTTTTTTGTTTGTGTGTTATCCTCTAACTAGAGAGTCATTAGTTTGGACTTATTAAAACCAAACACCACTGAAGTCTCATTAAACCATAATAAAATGTAATAGCAACTTATTTTCATGAAAACTAGATTACAGACACCTATATACTTATTATTAATTCTACTTGTTAATAAAATCATTTAGCTAATACATTGTATAGTATTCACAGTTCTGTTAAGGTAAACAAAATATTATTATGCTGTAGTAAACTTAAAAACAAGGTCTTTATTTAAAAAATACAACTTATAAAATCTTAGGTCAGGTCATCTTAAACTATTAAACCTTACTAATAAACATGGTTCAGCAAAGAAATAAAATATGTATGTATGTAAACAAAGAAAATTAATTTACAGCAGTTATTTATAGTAATAATCTATTTTAGCAGGTTTTCTTGCTTCCCATAATTGATATTAAAAATAATGAGGAGTGTCGTAAAATATTATCATAAAATATATTTAATACAATAGTTTTGGCTTGATCCAAGTTATTAATAGTTGGAAATATTTCATTTTAATATAGGAAAAGAGGAATTCTGCAATAAGGATGGTTAAAATAATTAATATGCTTAAACACTAATGGTTTTTAAGCATATTAATGTTACATTTCTTATGATCTTAAGATGTATCTTTGATGATGTTTGTTTACTACTTACTATTTTTATTGTTTGATTTCAATGTTTAACTCATGGCTGTATCCATTGATGTTGTAATACACAAATAGTTTTCTCTCAGTAGACTATATTAAGAGAGTACTAATTCTTACTTACATTTTTTAATTATGATTTTTGGTTTAAGCTTGACTGTACGTAGTTTATGCATATGTTTCATAACAAAGAACATACCAGGAAAGGCTAGTATCAGAAGGTATACCCTGAGAAAGTTAGGCAAATGGAAAGCAAAGTTCCACTCATTGGGCAGGGAGATAGTGAACTTACCACTTTCTTCAAAGTAGGGGATATTTCTGAGTATGACGATTGCCTCACAGAGGATTCCCAAGGGATAGAGTGGAATCCACAAGGTATAACGTAACCAGGTTAGGAGATAAATCTCTTTTCTATAAAGTTGTGCTATGTAAAAGGGATATCTGAAAGAACATATAAACACATAATATACATACTTATTTAATAGCATTAAAGTAATATTTAAGGAAAACCCTACATAATTCATGTGTTCTAATAATATTTAGAAACAATCTGAAAGATACACTTTATTGCTTTTCTTTGTTGGAAAGGCAAGTTAAAGTGAATACTAACATCAACAAGACATATTTATATATAAATTATATTGACATCTTGTCATGTATTTGTCTTGTATTTTTTTTTTAACCTTATCCATAAACCATACTATTAATATGTTGCCACAGCTGAATTAGTTTCATTATTCTAACACAAATTAGCCATTTTAAGACAGGGTTTTTTTCTAATTCTCCATAAAGATTTGAATAAAGATAATTGTTAATAAACTTTATAAATTCTATGCATGCTAGTTATTAAAACGCATACACAGTATCCAATCAGAAAGCAATGTGTTCGATTCCCAGCAACCTTGTATATGTAACAATTAAAAATGGAGGCAGAACTGTTTCTGCAGCATGACGAATTACAGCTATGATCTTCTTACAAATATTCATAGAGGAAAACTTATTACCTGACAACCTCAATCAGGGTCCAAATACAAAATAGGTAAAACACTACAGGTTTCGTCTGCATCCGTGGTTCCGCGTCTATCATTGCAAATAATACGAACGCCCGACCACCCACTTGTAAGAATGCTACAAGAGGGCTTCCCTGAAAATCGTTAACTCGTTGTAATTGTGTCTATATTTATGTATATAGTAACTAGCAGACCGGTCAAGCGTTGCTGTGGCTAAGGTTTTTGTTATATTACATAGTAGTAAACTATTCAAGGGAAACGGTAGGAGAACACCAGTCATGGGGACCACCATGCTTTTTTGGTGGTAATGCCATTAAATTGTAGCTTATGTGAAACGTTGGTACTTTCAACAAAGCGCCATCTGCTAAAACTGTGACTATCAAATAATAAACAAATATTTTGCAATAAAATAATATTGCGGTATAAATTGAGATGTAAGCAATCCTATCTTTTAAGTTAGATCAAACTGCACTCGGTGTGCAAATTTGATTGAAATCGGTTCAGTTGTTTAGGAGTCTATAGCGGACAAACAACGTGACGCGTAATTTATATATATTAAGATAAGTAGTTAGGATCAGCTTTTGTTACATAACTATTTTAAAGACAAAAAAATACCTTAGTATATCGAAATAACGGGTGCATAACTTCGAGGAACATCATTAATTGAAGGAACTTCATAGCTCCCCCTACATGCTCGTAAGTGCCCTCTATGGATGCATAGTCCAGTTTAAAGAATCGCACCATCATTACGCATAGTACGTATGTGAAGCCGATAAATTGAAACAGGTTGTATAATATGAGGTATACCTTTTTCACCTCTTCTGTAACATGGAAAATTCTATTTTAGAAAACAAAAATTTAGTCTATAATAAATTAAACCTGGCTACTTCTAAATAAAATTAATTTTACAGAGCTTTATTTCAAATCTACACATAAAATGCAGTTTATACATCAAATTGATAACCTCCTTTTTTTTGTTTAAAAAGGGTGAGCTACGCCTACATGTCTACTTGCCTGCATATTTTAATTATTTCTTTATGTATTCAACTTCGTTACATTTATACAAAAGCAAATTACATAATACATAACATTATAAGGATGCAACGGGCGGCCTTATCGCTAACAAGCGATCTCTTCCAGGCAACCCTAGTAAGGGAAAAAACTATAAAAGATATATGATGGGTATCAAAGTAGACTAAAAACTTACAAGCTAATCTCACGGATTCATGAATTGCGATACAATACACGATAAAGCATTAGAAATACAAGAATTACAAAAGTCACAATTGAGCAGGATAAGATATGGTTAAGAAATGTTTTTTGCGAAATTTAGACGCATGGTCATATTTCCTAAGACCAAATATAAAACGTATGCAGAAATTCTGCAAGCGTTCGATCTTGTCAAGCAGCGCTTCATTAATATCAGAGGTGCATGAGTGCCGCATCATCGAGAATAGAAAGCAGAAGAAATTGCGCTATAATACTTGTAGTGCGGATAGGAAGGAAATTAGATTTAGATAATAAGAAATGGTATTAAAAAAAATTACACAAAACAGTAAATTCGTGAAATTAATATTAATTCTTACTCCATTCTTCTGACATTTTGCAGTTCAACACAATTATTGACAGTCTGAATAATAAATTTGATTCACAAAATTTTATGAGTTACGAATAATACGTCATTCATACTTAATATTGTTATCTAAGAGTTGATTACGATAAAGATAATTACTAATTAGCCTTTTCTCTGATAGGCCATATTACAAAAAAACTTTATAATGAAATTGCAATGTTTTTCAAAAACATTGTTGAAATAGGCAATAATAGTAAAAATCATCTCCAATATATGCTTATTATAAATACCTAATAAAATATTATTATTGATTATAATATATTGGCTCTGCACAGTTTGTATTGTGTTGTAATTACATGAATATTCTAAAGTCATGATCTACAGACATTTCATGAAAGTAATTCAAGACAATTGACAATTTAGACTTCACCAAAGTTTCTTTCCTACCAGATATTAGCAAATTCTAATTTACCTTTCCTATATCCAAACTCTTCTTTATGCAGTTTGTCATACATCCCCGGATAATCCTTTGTAACATCACGAGTGTCTTCTTCACTTCCTCCATCATCCTCGGTTTTCCATTGGTCAAAATTAATCTGAAAATTAGATAAAACAATTTATCTAAGGTATAATAGCAAAATATAATTAAATTTTATTGTGTGAGTATGCACCATGACCAATTATAATTAGAAGCAATTTGTTTTTACAGGCCACTTAAAATTAAGTACTTACCGCTGTTACTCATGGACACTTACAATAGGGTTGGAAGAGCGTTGCTGGCTTATAATATAGGTAAGATACGCTCTTCTCTTAAAAGGCCCTAAATTGTAACTGTTAAGAAATATCTAAAATGGCAGCTGGTTCCATAAAAGTACTATTGTATTATATTATATAATTTAGCATTCTCTTCCAGATGACTGAATGTTGTTTTGTATGAAACCTTGGAAACCCATGACACATGACACACACACAGTGTATGTGTATTTATAAAGCTGATTCAGTATTATTGAGTTTAACTTTTACACAAAAAAATCTTTATAATATTAGTTTATATAAAATAACATAGTTACCTTAAGCCAGGCAGGCTTTTGTGGTTGTGCTGTTAATCTTGGCCACCAAGCTGCCTCATTTTTTTCTAAAACCACTTCAATACGATTTTCATATACCTTGATTGTTGTTTTCTGTTCATCCTTGCTCTAAAATTATCAGTAAGATTTGAACAACATAAGGCTTCTTACTAGTAATTCCTATGTTGATTTTTTCTACTTTTTTAAATCAGTATATGAAGAGATATAATATTAAAGAGAAGATATATTAATATGAAAATATTTAAGATGTTTAGATGTTTCTAATCAGAATATACTTACTAATTTGATCGAAGCAAATAAATCCAAATTGAATACATAATTGGAAAATCCATGAGCACCAAAACCTTGTGCCGAGAATTTTATGTTATTTTCTATAACATCGATGTTTGGTTTTTCAGCGTTTCGCAAATCAATTTTTAACGAAATAATTTTCGACGTTTGCGCCCAATATACAAAGGGACTGAGTAATACCATTTTTGCTTCTATTTAATAATTCCTGCAAAATTAAATGTATATTGAGAATATAAAAATTATTACGCGAATAATCAACAGAATATTCAGGATAAAAATATACGGTACCTATAAAGAAATCCCTAGGATCCAATCCCAAATCCCAATAAAGTATAAACCAAACAAGAGATTGTTGGATTTGATTTTTCCGCAGGATTTTTCAAAGATTATCTATAGAAAAACATGCACAGATTATAAGTAAATATAGAAGCCGAAATGCTGTTGGCTCAAATTTGATAACACGTCTCCTTTTGTTCAGCCCCTTTAACACTTTATTTTATTTAGGTATAAAATATGAATTTATTAGTATCTACATTTTAAAGTAAAATCTCAAAAAGACGAGTAGGTCAAGCTATGAGAACTCACAAGAACCGTCCGCAATATATATAACACAAAACATGAGCCACATTTGACCACCTTTTAACTTAAACACCATAATATATAAATTCTAACTCGGCGAATTCTAACCAGCAAGGTAACTTTTTGGAAGAAAATATGAACTTATATAATTTGAACATTACTTGCGTATAAAATAACAAAGTTATAAGATTATAATATAACTCATATATTTTAAATTAGCCACACGATTATGAGGTATAGTAAAATGTCAATTATTTCGAGAAGATGTAGTTTCAAATAGAAAACAATATAAAGAAAAAAAGAAATCCTATTTTAATTTATTATATTTAATTATTACTATATATTTTTTTAAACCCCCTACATATTCCACAAATAAAATTGCGTCCTCTTTGATAGAGTGATGTTCAATTTGGCTCTCAAATTGTAACATTTCAATGGACTATGAACAAGACTTAAAAATTAATTTACAAAGAAGTTTCACTTCTGATATGTGTACTTTGTACGCACGCTATTTTTGAAGTTATACTTCTTAAGGCGCGTTGAAAAAGAATGAAAAATTGATGAGAGTGAAATTTTACGATGCGCGCGCACCGTGATACAAAATTAACAGAATGAAGTTGCCCACGGAAGATGCTACGGCATTGGACATAATTAAAAACAACATTCTAATTTCGAATAATAATAAAATTTATGTTACACTTAATGTAAGAGAATAATAATAAATATTTATTTATTTAATTTTTCAAATGTAAACTGAACTTTATTGACTATAATGACTCCTTTTCCAATCTTTGATTATTTAATTGTAATGAATTATTTGCATGCAATCAAAAACTATTTTTAATAATGCCAAAGAAGTATAACTTCTGACGCGCGTACATAAGTACACGCACCCTTTTTATTTATTTTAATCGATCAACTAAATATGACCTTCCTTTTGAGACACCCTGCCTGTATAAATAAGAAACCAATAAAAAAAAAAAAAGAATAAAAGTAAATAAATAAATAAAATAAATGAAAAAGAGTAAAAGTTGTCAAAGTGACAACATGAAAAAAATATTTATGAGAATTTAGAAATAAAAATTGATTAAATTAAATGGAATATGATGCAAAATGATGATATTGAATGCGTAAAAAATGGAAATAAACAAAAACAAAATAAAATAAAATTACGTAAAGTCTAAGAAACGGACAATTTAATAGTGGTCAGACAAAATTTGCTTATGCCTAAACCTGAACCCTTTTTTCTCAGTGCTCTTGCTTGTGCTCTTTATACTTTTGCTTGTGCTCCTGCTTCTTCTTGTGTTGTGCTCCTGCTTTTGCTTGTGTTGTGCTCCTGCTGATGCCTGTGTGTTTATTTTATTTTCATCCTGTGACGAAACGAAGAGTTACCAAAACCAGCAGCCTTCATTTTTATTTTTGATCTTGTCCTATTTTTTGTTATGTGTCCTTTTTAAGTTACTTTTTTGTGTTTTTAAATTTGTTTTAAGTTATTGTTTTTTTTTATGTTAGTTTATTAACTGTTGTGAATGCAGGCCGTGACCCTATCTTGTGATGGCACGTCGATCGCGTCCCATACATGTACATTTTGCAACAAGTCTTTCAAATCTTTGAAAGGCCTCAAAATACACATTTCTAAAACACACAGGAACTGTATTAGCCAAACCAGTTCACTTTTAGAAATCCATCCCATTATTCCGAGTGCGCCTACTTTTGCAGCCAACGCTCCAACTCCTTTTCATACATTACTTAGCCATTTGAAAAATAGTATACCCATTGTTAAAAGAATCCCTCGCGGAGCACGAATAACTGTTGCTACACATTTGTCAAAATTAATCCAGAAATGTTATATAAGCAATTGTACTCAAGACTGGCAGAACTTATTTTTATTTTCATACAGTACACTACACATAATAAAAACTGATGAACCGAATTTATCCCTGACACAAAAGATAAAGAATAACTGTGCTGTAAGTTCCTCACCTTCTCCCGCACCTCTAATTAAACATGATGCCTCTTTTAATCGCAAAAAACTCATCGAGAACAAAATTTGTGACGGAGATCTTAAAGGTGCCGCTCGTCTTTTGTTCTCCAATGACGTGCTATCGCCAGATACGCCTGACACCCTTGAGGCATTACGGACTAAACATCCCCCAGCTCCAGTAATCCCATATTTTCTCGACCCACCAACAGCAGGGCAAGCATGCCTTAAAATTCGAAACAAAGATGTAACTGATGCAATTTTATCTTTTAAACCAGGTTCGGCAGCAGGATTGGATGGAATCTCACCCCAACATTTGAAAGATTTAACATCGCATTCTGTGGGTGATGCAGGCGAGCAACTTATTAACTCGATCACAAAATTAATAAATTTTATGTATTCCGGGGATGTCAATACAGAAATTGTTCCCATTCTTTTCGGCGCGAACCTCATTGCCCTCACTAAAAAGGACGGAGGGGTGAGACCAATTGCTGTTGGTTCAACACTAAGACGTCTGGCTTCCAAAATTGCTGTTCGACATATTTTACCAAAATTAAATTCAGAATTTGAACCTGTACAGTTAGGCTTCGGTGTGAAAGGAGGGTGTGAGGCAGCCGTCCATGCCCTACGCTCTTTCCTAAGTCACGGACAGCCAGACGTGTTGCTCAAAATTGATGTGAAAAATGCATTTAATTCGGTAAATAGGGATACCCTGCTGACTGAAATAAAACAACATATACCGGAAATATACAATTATCTTCTTCTCAGTTACGCTGATCCAACTAAATTGTTATATCGTTCTAATGAACTTTCCTCGGAAGTAGGTTGTCAACAGGGTGATCCCCTTGGGCCTGCAATTTTTAGTTTGGCTATAAATCCCATAATCAAAAATTTAAATTCTAATTTCAATGTTTGGTATTTGGACGACGGAACCCTAGGAGGTGATGTGGATACTGTGTTTTCGGACCTTCTTTTAATCAAAAATAAATTTGAAGCCATTGGTTTGGAACTTAATTTTAACAAATGCGAACTTTTCATAAATAACTGCGACTTAAATTTAAATGATGTAAAAAAAAATTTCAAATTTTGGCTCCAAATATTAAAATAGTTAACAGGAATTCCCTTTACCTTTTAGGTTCTCCAATTTTTAATGAATCTATTTCTGATTATATTCATACTTCAATTACTAAATTTCAAAATTCTGCTGACCGTCTCCTTGAAATTAGTCCACATTATGCACTTTGCATCTTAAAATTCTGTCTTTTCCTCCCAAAATTTACGTATGTGCTCCGTTGCTGCTCCTTTTGGAATCACCCAGATATTTTAACACCATTAGACGACTTAATCAAAATTAGCTTAGAATCACTTCTTAATATGCAGCTGAACGAGAAATCTTGGACCCAAGCTTCCCTACCCATCCGTTATGGTGGTTTAGGGATTCGCAAAATTTCCAGTGTCGCTTTACCAGCCTTTCTATCTTCTGTCCATAGTTCAGCAAATCTCATAAGTAAAATTTTAAGGGCATCCCCTTCAAACTTTGAGATTGCTGGCTTGGAAGAAGCTAGAAACGCTTTCTTGATTGCATGCCCAGGTCAAAATTTTCCATTATCTCTAAATTCACAGAGGAGCTGGGATGACATACACTGCAAGTTGACTTTTGACGATCTTTTGAGTCGTAGTACGGGTTCGGCGCGTGCTAGGCTTTTGGCCGTGGGCACGCATGAGGCCGGCTACTGGCTTCACGCTTACCCATCGTCAAATACAGGAACTTTTCTTGAGCCTGACACGCTTCGAATCGCAACCTGTCTACGGCTTGGGGTTCCGGTCTGCGCTCCTCATATATGTCCCTGTGGCAGTGATGTCGACAAGTTAGGACATCACGGCCTGTCATGCCAAAAAAGTGCAGGCCGCTTCTCGAGACATGCCGCACTTAACGATATCATACGCCGTTCCCTTGCCACCGTCAACGTGCCAAGTCTTCTTGAGCCAAGTGGTATTGCAAGAGACGATGGCAAGAGACCGGACGGTATGAGTTTGATTCCATGGAAGATGGGTCGGGTACTGGTATGGGATGCAACCTGTTCAGACACGCTGGCCCCTTCCCATCTACATGGAACCAACTACAGAGCTGGTGCGGCTTGTGAAGCGGCTGAAAAAAAATAAAGCAGGCAAATACAGGGGTCTGGGCTCTGAATATGATTTTGTCCCATTCGGTGTCGAGACCCTTGGTCCGTGGGGTCCTAGCGCTTTAAGGCTTTTTAAAGAAATTTCAAAAAGGTTAGTCGACATCACAGGAGACCGAAGATCTGGCAGCTACCTCGGACAAAGAATTAGTCTAGCAATTCAAAGGGGGAACGCTGCCAGTATCTTCGGAACCTTGCCTAAAGGGACTCCTTTTAATGATATATTTTAGTTTATGTTAAGTTTCGTTATTTATTTCAATGTATATTATTTTATTATTATTAGTTTATGTTTATAAGTTTAATTTTATTAATATTGTTACCATTACATTATAACTTATCATTCATGTTTTGGAATTTCAAAAATATGAGTATTTCTGTCTTAAACGGTTTGTTTGTTTTAATACCGGGGCGGTCTGTAGAATAAATAAAGTGCGTGCGTAAAAAGTACACATGTCAGAAGTGAAACTTCTTTGTAAATTAATTTTTAAGTCTTGTTCACTACTAAGGTAAAAGCTCAAATAGGTGATCATCCTGGTAGTATATGATCATTCCATGTAATTGTATATCTATATTGACACTGTTTACACACTGTACACGTGTTAATGATAATATAAATAAATAAAAAAATCTGCGTTTACTGCACAAGACGTCATACGACAGAATTGCCATGTAAAGTTCTTATATGTAACTAATAATGGAATGCATCAAGCAATAGCGTGTATTTTTCTCGATCTCCCTCAAGGCATCCTGTTTAAATAAGCCCCCAGACCAAGTAGAAATACTAACGTATAGTCCTTTTGATGAAAGAAGTCCCCCAGACGCAGCGCTGCAATCGCGCGACATAATGTTGCCATTTATGAGTAAAAGGTTTACCTATTTTACATTAAGCATATGTAATTTATCAAATAATACTATTTTCTGCATACTTCGATGAAACAATATTTCTGTTATATACAAAGTATATTTTTATTTACTTATACAAGCGGTATTCTACCTACTTACAGGGAAAAGATGAGAAAATAGGGTATAGAAAAGCATTAAAAAATTTTATTCAGAGTTTTATTGAATAATTGTGATCAGCGGCCAAAGGAACATCACTGTCTGAAGAGTGGATGGAAACAGAATCAGATTCTGTTTCAGTATCACTAGCCGTAGATATAATTAGGTATTCTTTTCGCATCTGAAGATGCGGGCGACTCTTCCCCAGGGTGACAATTTTTTTTTCGAAGGACTCGCCGCTGTTAGACCTTCTTTTGTAATTCTTGTTACAGTTCTCTCGGACAAATGTATGACAGCTTTACTTGTTACCACGAGTCACAGAGTCATGTCATGCTCAACTCGTCTAGATTATACAATAAAAATAAATAACGTTACCCACTACCCAGTACTCAATAGTTACTAGTCACTACTTAGAGCCTAAAAATATAATACTGTGCTTAATCGCAGCGAATTAAGCTGAATTAATTGAAATCATTCTATGTCGTCCTCGACCATAAACATAGTAATAATTTATTGTTTATTCAGGTTTCAGCTACATAAATAAAATGAAAATAGCAACACATGACAACGAGCTGTCAAAACTCAAAAAGTAGTTTGGCTGTATTTTCATGGGTGTCGAGTTTCTTTGAATAAATTCCATAATTTTTGAAATTCTTCTGACTCTATCAATTATGAGTGTTGTGAAAATGGTTTAGATAAGCTTCTGTGTGTAAAAACTACTACTTACAGGCCTTGCACGTCTTCGTGTAAACAAATCCAAAATGTCCGTTCCTACAACAGGATTGAGTAAATTGAAAAAGAAACATATTCGTGTGAAACACCAGAAAGTGAAATTATTCCGTGCTAATGAACCTTTACTCTCTGTTTTTATGTGGGGCGTTAATCACACGGTAATATTTTTAGATTATACAAGTCTTTAGTTTCGCTGGTTTCGGTTTTATTGCTTAGAACTTGCCTTTCCTTAGCATTTTTATTTTACGTTGGGAATTTTAGTTGATAAATCGAAAAGTCACTCAGCTTCTTATTAGTAAAATATTCATATTGCCTTTCATCTGGCAAATCATCAATGATCAAATAGTAATTGTATGTTTTTATATATAAATGCTAGGTCAATACACAGGTGCCAAATATTTGTCACCTGAAATCATTGTTATCCAAAATTTTATTTATCACCTTGTCTTAAAATAATTTATTCAAGAGTAAAAATTTGCAGTAAAGTTAAACAAGATTGATAATAGTTAATTATAATTAGTCTAACATAATCCACTTATTTACTTTAGAAAAAAAATCACTTATAATTTATTGAAATTGATAAATATTTAAGTAAAGATGTGTGATGCAAGTAATGATAGTTATTATAAGTTTTATTAACAAGGACTTTTTACCATGTACATTGTACAACCATTTTTTTTTCCAGATAAATGAACTGAGCCACGTCTCAATACCTGTTATGTTACTTCCTGATGATTTCAGGGCATATTCTAAACTTAAAGTTGATAACCATTTGTTTAATAAGTAAGTATTATTTTTACTTTCATGTTAGATACTCAATACTAGATAGTAGCTACTTCTGCATATTATCTTCATCACCTTCTTTCCCATTACAAATAATAATATTTAAAAAAATGGGATAATGTCTGCCCCATTCTCCATAGTGGTGTATGAGTCTACACTTTTAACTCCCATAATTTATTTATACAGTAAAATAGGGCTTGACAATTGGGGCTAAATGTACCATTATCTAAATATATGCATGTATTTATTTAATAAACCAATAAACTTGAGAACTTGATGAATGTATTACTTATTTGTGAATGTTTCGCTATAACTAGAGAATAGCTGGACTAATTTGGCTAATTATGATCTAAAAATAGTTGTGGAAGTTCAGGGGAAGGTTTCAATAAAGGACAAGATAAATAATAAGTTAAAAAAAATACTAAAAACAACAGTTAACTTTTCCAATAAAACGGTCCCTAGCTGGTCTTTGTCTCTTCAGAAATAAAAAATTGTCACTTGTTTCTCATATATCTCTTTGGTCTGTTTAAAAAAAATATATTTATTATTACTTTGTGGCAACAACATAATAAAATTGACAAAATTAAATGAAAAGGAGGGCTTTCAAGCAACCAATTAATATATTAAGTTTCGACACAAATATATGTTGGTGATATAATGTTGGTGAACTTCGATCATCTAGTAATTATGAAAATGTTATTAATTATTATTTTATTCACTATTCCTGCAGAGAAAACATGCCATCACACTTCAAAGTAAAGGAGTACTGCCCTCTCGTCTTCAGGAATCTGCGAGAGAGATTTGGAATAGATGACCTTGATTATAAGGAGTCATTGACTAGGTAAGTTTTTGTAAACATTTTTTTTCGCTAGGAAACCACGTGTGTTACGCTATTACCGGAGCCGTATTTATTTATATTTTATTTCCTTTATATTTTCTCGTCCGGTCCTACTTCCCGTCATATCCTATAGGTTTAGAAAACCAGATAACTACCTCCGTTCGAGAGCCAGAAAGAAGTATATTAATAAGCTGCGACGTTCGGCCACAGCGCCGTCTGGTGTTACGGAGATGAGGAATGGACAAGACAGCCTCCGAGATGCTTGCGATCTGCTCAAATATGGCCTGAGTATGAATCTGAGGCTGAGGTCAGCAGTTTGATTTGTAACGGTTTTCTTTTAACAGAATGTAGTGTGCCTTGGATTGACACAGCATTTCATCACATTCACGATCACCGTGTTTTGTATTTTGTTTGGGAGAAATCGATTGCTTTTTGTTATTCCGGTGTGTCATGCATTGTAAATCCTAAGATAAACATTTTGTTCGTCATACATCCAACTTATCACAGTAAACACGCGTTTTGGACACACAAAAATCCTCTTTTATGTCACAAAGCAAATAGCACATAGCAAAGTTAATTCTAAGATTCTAAGAGAAGTAAGAAACTAATTATGAAATTGAGAGAATTATAATATATAAAAAATAATATAAGGAAGCGGTAAATTTGGTATTTTCCCCTATTATAAAAAGTTAACCTTTTCTTGACATCTTCCTGTATAATATAGAATATACATAAATCAATTAACAAAAATAATAAGGATTATTAAAAGTCAATAAACTTTGTGAAGAACTTAGAATTAAAGAGTACTCTCATTTATGTATTAAGAATTTTAAACCAAGTAACCAAAGGTCGCTTTGGGTTAATAGCTCATTTAGACGTTTAAAATTATAACAAAGCAATACAAATTAACGTCAATTACATAGTAGGCAGTTGGAGCGATACCAATAAAGTGTATGAATTAAAACTTATTTAAGGCATTTATTTGCGTTGGTTTTCGAGTATTCAACAAAAGTTTGTGTAAAAGTATAGGCAGCTATGATCTTGACCATATTTTCGTTAATAATTGACTTTTCCCACATAACTCCTCATTGAAAGTCAAAGTCAAAATAACTTTATTAATATAGGTAAACAAGTAACACATGAACGTCAGAAAAGAAGTTAAATCAATTCTAAATTAACATTTACTACCAGTTCGGATGTCTCCGCCACTCTTTTTAATTCCTAAGTTTTGAGTCGTACAAATTGTTTGAACTGGAGAAAATCAAGGATTAGGATCATTTAAATATTTGTCAAATTTACAAAAAGCTTTATTGATCTATTGACACGTTTTCACATGTTCACATTTGAGACTTATAAAATATACCAATGACATTACTACTACATCGTGATGAGTAAGAATTCTGCATTTCCAAAGCATGGTGTGACCCTTAATGTAAAGGTAAAATTTAATTAATAATCAAAAAAGCCAACGTATTTTGAATTTTTAATATCATAAAAGGTACTTAAGTGCGAAATAATCTAAATATCTTTGAAGCCATTAGAAACAATATCTAACAATTTTATACAACTAATCCAAGTTGAAATCTTAGGCATAGGAATATTTTAGAGGCTTATCAATAAGCTAATTAACTAGTCTAATGACATTAGGCAGCGTCATTTAATAACACAATAATGAACGGACGTAAACATTATTTTTAAAAATAAAATGCTATACATAAAAGTATTGTACAACTCTACAAAGTTTTGAAGGGAAGCGAATTTTAATTGTGTGTTATTAGTCTGCAAACAATTTTGTACTATGACGTAAACGTTCGCTTGAATATGTTGCGCTACGCCTCTACTTATTATTTCTCGAGGAGCTTTCTATGGAATTTCTTTACGTAGCATTCCTGTGGGCAGCCAAGTGTATATGTTAGTTTTGTAAAATTGGTATGCCATACTGGCGCTAATAAAATATAGATTACAATGTTTACAGTAGATATTAGACAAGTGTTATTATATACTTTCAGCGTATAATAAGCAGTGGTCTGACAAATACTTTAGGTCCAAATGTAAAGGAAGGCGAAGAAGACTGGCCAGCATTTTGGATATCAGATCTTATGTAATGTTTAAAGTGCAATGTAAATTTATTGCGCCGCAGAAGGGACTGCGCATTTCTGTCCTTATAAGAGTTATTTTTAGATTGTATATTGCAATGAGTAATATCGTCGTTTTAAGATATTTTTTACCTTAGCCGACTGATCACTCTGTCTAGAGTGTGAACTTAAGTTTAAACAACGATAAAAAAACATTGTACTATATACTCTTTACTACGTTCTGTATCTACTTCGCAGATGCTATCTGTTGCAGTTTTAGGTAAATAATAAGAATATTGTCGGCAGGTCGCAGCCGATACCAGATGAATCTTCTGGAAAATCCGGCGCGAAGTTCTATCAAAGTTATGACAGGCTCTTCATCCTGAAAACGTTGACTTCGGAGGAGGTGGAACGGATGCATTCATTCCTTAAACATTATCACCCGGTATGTCTTATTACCTTATTACTATATGTATATTCTACTTATTTTAGAAGTGACAGGATGACGTCATCTTTATTGCTCTTAATGAATCAACAGTTGATATATTTTTGTTAACTATAGAGAAGGTAGATATCTTTACTTTAAAAAAGGTTACTAATTTAACATACCATACATACAGATAATACAATTATATTTATTTATTTTTATTAATTTAGTTATTAAGCTTACGACATCACACACAGTACTTAATCTACTAATTATTTTACAAAATCTTACATCTAAAATGTGTGACAATTAACGTAAACATAAGTTTCACAAAAAAAATAGAAATTTAAAAAAATACAATTAAAACATATACAAGATAATACAAGCACACAACAAAATAGAATAACATTATAGAAATTTGTTGGCACTTAAAGCCGAAAAAAAGAAAAATCATCAGCAAAACAGCAGCAGGTTCGATAAAAGCACCCCACAATGCTTTCTCTAAAACCGAATGAGAAATTATAGAGAATCTTTGATCTTCAGAAACAAATGAAAGTGAGAAATAAGTCTCCCATGTCTTGGTCGTACGATATTGAAAGCACTTAAACGTGTCTAAATATATATTTTTTTTGTTTGAATGCTATTTATTTCTTGTTTGGCGTCGAAAATCATGTGTCGATGCAATATTATTTAGTACGGCCATATTTTCAGTCTGAAATAATGTCTTAAACTAGTAATTATTTTAATAGCTATATTGCATGCAACTGGTACATACGGAACTCAATTTTTAATAATATAACTAGAAAAGCATACTGTCTCGCTTTTAATTTAATAATATTTCATTCTTTTTTATTCCAATTTAACGGAATACTTACTATATTTATAAATTTTATATTATTAATCGTAACATACTGTATAGGAAATATGATGTCGAAGTATTGATTTTTCAATAAAATTTACCAAATTTAGTGTCTGTCAAACGTTAATTTTGATCGTAAATTACACGTTTTTGGTCATAATTTTATGTACTTAGTGGAGTTCTACCGATATATACATATACCCAAATATTCAAACATCATAAGGATGTAATAGTAATGCTATGTACTCATTTTAATTTAGAGGTCGTAAAAACTTAGCAAAATATTTATTTATTTATTTTATATGAAATAGAAACCAAAATTATATACAAAAGAGGCCCTTTAAGTAAATACAAATTACTTGTGCTCAGGGGGTTCCTCGGCTGTTTCGTTAATTATGTGGTAATAAATACGTGTATTGTAGTGTGTGTTTGTGTGAAGGTTATATAATAACAGCCAATTCTGCTTCTATATAATTTACTTTGTATAGCTATTGGTATAATTATTGCTTTAACCCACCAAGACTAAGCGGGTAAATATTAAGGATTTTGTAAAAATAGCTGATGTTTTTTTAATAAGTAATTTTAATAGAAAAAGTATCACATATATCTTGACACACCTAATATGTAATCCTACAGCTGTAACAAAAAACAATTATACTAAAGATATAGCCAAAGATGGAATGCTTAATACATACAAAAAGGTTCAAACATGGACGAAAGTTAAGAAAAAATAATATTAAATACATTTAACTAAGTAATTCCTAATTCGGCTGTGTTGTGTAATAATATTAAAGTGATGTACATATCATGTACATGTACGTTGTGTATGTAGGGTGTGGTCACAATACAAGACATGTTCCGCGATAGCTTAAACAAGTCAAGGCTTAAATATTGGTCGTTGTATGTCCGGGATACGCAATACAAAACTGAGTTTTTTGCATAATTTGCGTTTGCATGAGGAACGTGAGCACGATTACGAATGTTGTAGGCAGTCTGTGCTTCCTCCACAATGTGTGTAGAACGTACCAGTTCTTTACCTTCATTATACGTACGAAATGAAGCTTGTTACAAAAAAACAAAAATTATTCATTTTTTTCTGGAATGTATGAACGATGCATTTATTTCAAGTGCTTAATAAATATTATTTATCGGTTTCCACGAAACGTATCTTTGATAAAAATATGTTATCTTTTTGATTCTAGTGACATACGAGTTTTGTTTAAAATTTCCTTATTTTATATAATTGTCGATTTTCTAGAGACAATGGTTGTAAATTACGTCAAAAATATATATGTATTACTATATCTATCTGACGTCATCTTTCGCAGAATCTGTTATCTAATCTAGTCCCCAAAATTCAGATTAATATCTGACTTAGTGACTTAGGTATCTAATAATTTTAAGATAGTTTCATAAAATAAATGGTAAACTACTTAGAAATTGACGGCTTTATATTTTTATTCTTAATACACGTATTGGAAATGTTCCATGAAATCTTATTTATTAATTTAAGAAAGATTTCTGTCATTCAAATACCAATCAATTTGGAAAATATGATTTGGTTCCAAACTAAACAACGATGTGAAATATTAATATCAACTTCTTGTAGTTCTCATCATTATTCTTAACTCGACTAACATTTCTCTGCATGCTTTGTCGCGGCAGTCATTTGTTCTGTCTGTCTGGAGGTCTCCAATCGAGGAACCTTCGCGTCCATGCGCGCTATATGGCCCGCACATATACATTTTTAATGACATATTCAAATATAAATTTGATGAAAAAAATTAACGTTTTCAAGCGAATGTGACAATCTTACCCAAATTTTGTTACGAGTCCAAAACTAGTTTTCTATTTCACCTTTTTTCCTACAGTATATCGTGGAGCGTCACGGCAAGACTCTTCTGCCCCAATACCTTGGCATGTACCGGCTGACTGTGGACGGTATTGAACATTATCTAGTCGCTACCAGGAATGTTTTCTCGAACCACTTAAATATACACAAGTAGGTATTTTTCAGATGTTTTTCCTTGTATGTGACTTATTTAAATCACTAGACGTAACAAAGACTTATTCAAAAGTGTCCCGTAGCTACACTATGGTGCAAGAGGTACATGTGCGTTTTATTTATCTTTTTATACGCAAAAAGGTGCGAACAGCAATAACCCTCTCCGGAATCGAACCTAAAAGAGTTTCATGTAAAAAAAAGGTGGTTAAAAGCTGGCGTGAGAGCAGTGTTGGCTTAGTGGCTTCAGTGTACGACTATCATACCTGAGGCCGTAGGTTCGATCCCCGGCTGTGCACCAGTGGACTTTCATGTGCGCATTTAACATTTGCTAGAACATCGTGAGGAAACCGTAATGTCTTAGACCCAAAAAGTCGACGTCGTGTGTCAGGCACTGGAGGCTGATCACCTACTTGCCTATTAGATTAAAAAATTATCATGAAACAGATTCAGAAATCTGAGGCCAAGACCTAAAGAGGTTGTAGCGCCACTGATTTTTTTAAAGCTGGCGTGAACCTTACATAAAATATTTGAAGTCCAAATCGTTATTGAGGATAGCGGTTCGCAAACGAGTCGCCCATTGCCTTACGATTATCTTGAAATGTATTGGTTTTAACCCCCGAAGAGAATGGTGTGTTATAAGTTTGTTGTGATTCCTGAGCTCCAAAGGACCGAGTTTAATGGCGTTTTTATTGTTGTAGCTGGTAGACGAGATCCTTTCAGTTGAACCACCGCCATCAGCTGTCTTTGTTGGCTGCGACAGATATAACGGGGTTACCAACCAAAAATCTTTTTAAGATTAATATTATTTAGTGTGCAGTTAATTTCATTAAATATATTGCGATTATACTAAAAAAATTAAACCCTTTACATCAGAGTTTCGTGCCTCGCCTTTCTTAAATTCTTATGCCCCCCCCTATGTAACAAACATAATTTTTAATATTAAAAAATTTAATTGTTCTCTAAAGAAACTTCAATAATAAATTTTAGAAAGATATTACTAGGAAATTGTTAACAAAACAAAGCAAGTAAATGTTCATATAATGAAGAAGTGAAATTGAAACTCCAAATTATTTTAATACATTTTTCGAATAGTACACATTAACAATAAAAGTGTCCGATGTCACTGACCCACCTTGTGGGACCCACTTTGTGGGACCCACTTTGGGGAACACCGCTTTACATAGAATGGAATATCCTTTTATAAATGTATTTACGTTTGTTACAGAAAATACGATCTAAAAGGGTCGACAGTGGATCGTGAGGCATCTGAGAAGGAGTTGGAGAAAGAGTTGCCAACGCTCAAAGACAACGATTTTATAAAGCAAGGTATTAGGATCGACATTGGAGACGCTGCAAAGGAAAAATTGTTGGAGACACTTACAGCTGACGTTGAGGTATGTCAATTGTCAAAATTAGTTCAGTTTTGAAGTTATATTTAGGCGCGTTAGGGAAAAATGATGAGAGTAAATTTTTACGTTGCGCGCGCGCACCGTCACAAAAAACGGACACCCTCAACGGACAACCCCGATGATGATTTCTATACGAGAAAACCCGTTCCAATATGGTAAAAAACATAGCGTTTATTGTAAAATATCATGATTAGTACATATTATATCGTTTCGATTGGAAGTGACCATTAAAATGGACAAGAAAAATGCGATTCGAAGAGGGAAACCTTCCTCTAAAGCGTTCGAAGAAAATTATTACGCCAAAGAAGTATAACTTATAACGCGTGTACATAAGTACATACACGTTTTTTTTAATGTTTCAAATGTAATAGGAATATGAAGAGTGGACTTGTATTTGCGTTTACTTATTCCCTGAAGCCGCTCTATTTGATTTGCAAAATATGTAATAGACAGAAAAATACAAGAAAGATTCCCAGCAATTTTCAATTGTTTTTTCAAGCGTAGTGTATATGTAGAAAAACTTTAGGCATGAGTTATAATAATAATATTATTAAATAAGTGGACAGCCTCTCTCTGCTCAAGTATACCAAAGAGTAAAGGATATTGCTATATATATATTACTAGCTGACCGGGCAAACGTCGTTTTGCCATGTATATCATTTATAATAAAAAAATAGGGGTTGATCGTAGAGGGGTGAAAATTAGGGGTTGTATGTATTTTTTAATGCTGTATCATAAAAAAATAAAGAATAATTTTTTTATCTAAAATTAAAAAAATTTGGACCACCCTTAACATTTAGGGGGATGAAAAATAGATGTTGTCCGATTCTCAGACATACCCAATATGCACACAAAATTTCATGAGAATCGGTCGAGCCGCTTCGGAGGAGCTTAACCACAAACACCGCGACACGAGAATTTTATATATTAGATAATATACTTTTCCAATAGTTTAATAATTATATATCAATGTAGAGCCACATATTATTATCGGTTGTTAACTCTTAACCCTGACCTCTTGTGTTCGAAACACTTGTTTGCAATCTCTACTTGCCTATAAGGATCAAAATTTAAAAGACAGAATTCTGAGGCTAACACCAAATATTGTATAAGATTTTTTTTATTATCAATTCCAGTTCCTAACAAAACTCCATCTGATGGACTATTCCCTTCTACTTGGAGTACACGAGTGTGGTCGAGGCGAAGCGGAAGCCGAAGCAGCGCGACAGAAGGAAGCGGAGAACGACACAGAGAATGATTCCGAGTCTGACAGCGATACTGACAATCGCCATGACAGGTGGGGAATATTTTTTTGCGTCACATTAATACTGTTACAAGCGAGGGGATCGGATAGAAAACGCCGTAGATATCTTCAAGGGTTTATTGTCAACTAAATCTCAGTGACCCGTTTTCTTAAGAATATTTAAAAAAAAAGCCAAATTCATTACATAATTTCTATTTAACACTTACAATTATAATAAAAGTATTGTTGCACGAAATAAGTTCGGTGGTGGTTGTTGTATGGGGCTTCAAACTTCATGTCGCGTAGAAAAGAATACACTGCAATAACAAAGAGAGTGGCTGAAACAACAATAGAACTGGCTGTGCAATATTGCAGTTGCATTCGATAGCCTAGCGATCGTCCGGCAACCCATCGGGGCAACATCGGCCATAAGTGGCTATACAAAACATATTTGGCTATATGACCGGGATATTACTGCAATATTGCATAGTGTGGCTGCTATTGTTTGCAATGTTGCCGGGCCACAGTGTTGCAGCCATCAATTGCAGCAAAACATGGCCCGTTCAGAAGCCCCAGTATGGAAATGTTTAAATAAAACTCTTTGTTAGAAGCTTAACAACTGACTTTAATGGTTTAAAATATGAGCTTATAAATAACACATAATTAGGGGTTGCGACGCTAATAACGCGAACAAACTTGGCTTATGTAAGGGTTCATAAATCTAAATGACACTTAATTTAATAAAAATAGATAATTGGATATTATCGAATACAAGAATGTTAAAATACAATTTATAAGTGTGGTAAAAACTAAAGGGCTCATATTGGCTTCAATTGTGCAACGATTGTTTACATTTTGTTTACACCTCTAACTTTACTAAAATATTTTTTACTTTTTTACTAAAATATTTTTTACTTTTTTACTAAAATATTTATATGAAACTTAACTAAAGTTAGGTTACATAACTCACGATAGGAATACTTGGTTGAGAAGATGTTGTTTAAAAATCTTAGTGAATATATAAAGTTTTAAATCGTTAGTGAAAATTTAGTTTTTAAGAAAGTGGTTAAAGATGAAACAATTTGAACTATTTCAGATGGGGTTTTAACACACCACCAGATAGTCCGCGGGGCTTCGGTCGTCAGTCGTCATTGCGATATGAGGGCATCATACCGGAACTGGATATCTACGCCATACCCAGCCAAGAAGGTAAGCTAAGAAGTTATGAAATATAATCTTCATCTTTTTATGAATGTCTGTCGGTATGTTTGCGGTATAAGTTAACGTTTATATTATACTAGCAGACCGGCCAAGCGTTGCTGTGGCTAAGGTTTTTGTTATATTACATAGTAGTAAACTATTCAAGGGAAACGGTAGGAGAACTTATGTGAAAAGTTAAACTTACTTTTAACACAGCGCCATCTGTTAGAATTGTATCAAATAATAAGCAAATATTTGCAATAAAATAATATTGCGGGTATAAATGGAGATGTAAGCTATCCTATCTTTTAGGTTAGATCAAACTGCACACGGTGTGCAAATTTGATTGAAATCGGTGAAGTAGTTTAGGAGTCCATAGCGGACAAACAACGTGACATATTAAGATGTAGATAAAAAAAATCCATAATTTTATTTTACAGTTATTTACATCTTATTTCTCAGACACCGAAGCCGTGCATCTGATTATATGCCTATGAACAGGGTTATTGGTAATTCGACGTATTCCTGGTATAAGGTGATAGGTATTTGTGATTATATAAAAATAAATAAAATTGCGTATCTACTGATTGTGTCCAACACGAGACCTTAATCGGGAAACTCCGCCACTATGGCATCAAGAATACCGCACTGAATCTTCTGACTTCCTATTTACACGGAAGAACTCAGAAGGTTGAAGTGAATGGTAAGAGGTCCTCTGGCTCGGCAGTAGATATGGGGGTACCACAGGGCTCAATTCTTGGCCCTTTCCTCTTTCTTGTTTATATAAATGATCTACCTTTCATGGTAGAGAGAAAACATCAGATAGTTTTGGTTTGCTGATGACACGTCCTTGATTTTTAAAATCTAACGACAAATAACAAGTTTTGACGATGTGAACAATGCTCTATCTTCGATTGTCCATTGGTTTAGTATGAATAACCTTCTACTTAATGCAAATAAGACAAAATGCATTAAATTTTGTGCAAAAAATGCAAGGGTTATGGATACTAGACCAATTATAAACGGTGAGGAATTGAATCTGGATGATACAACTGTATTTCTCGGAATCACCATGGATTCAAAACTTCAGTGGTCCCCTCATATTAACGGATTGGCGAAGAGACTTAGTTCTGCAGCTTACGCGGTTAATAAAATTCGCTCACTAACTGATGTCGATACAGCTAGACTTGTTTATTTTAGTTACTTTCATAGCTTAATGACTTATGGCTTATTATTATGGGGTCATGCTGCTGATGTCGAAACTATTTTCATCCTGCAGAAGAGGGCTATTCGTGCAATCTATAATTTAAAATGTAGGGAATCTCTTAGAGATAAATTAAAGGAAATTAATATACTTACCTTTCCCTCGCAATATATTTATGATAATATTATGTATGTATACAAAAATAGTGATAAGTTTACTAGAATAGAACATACGCACAATGTTAATACACGGAACAAACGCAGGCTGCAATTTCCCCGTACTAGACTATCTAAAGTTAGTAATTCTTTTTTGAGAAAAGGGATACTCTTCTTTAATAAAATCCCAGAGGCTCTTTTATCTCGGCCTTTTAATAAATTTAAGAAATGTATTGAAGAAAAGCTGTGTAAAAAGGCTTACTATAAAGTCAACGATTATCTAGTTGATAAAAGGGCCTGGGACTAGTGCTAGACAGGCTACTTCCAATTAATTTGCGATATTTGTTTTAAAATAAGTGTTGTTTGATGATTTGCTATTTTTAAAGAGTATCGAGAGTTTTTTACGCCGGCTTTTTCTCTCGGCCTCTGTCGTCTTTGCCGATCAGTAGGGATGCCTACAAATTCAAATTTAATGACGTGGAATAAGTGATACATGTATCTTATGTTCCATAATAAACAAAATTTTTTATTTTTAATTTAACCGACTTAAGATAAAATAAACGATTAAACATTTTCATTACCTATCCTGACTTAGTAATTCTTATTTATCGTTATTCATGATGCCGTGAGTTCACCTTTTTATTTTTTAGTTTATTTTATTGAACAATTCTTGCACTTTACCCATATTTTGTTTAGTTTGTTTCCTTACTAGGATTACCTGGAAGAGATCGCTAGTTAGTTATAAGGCCGCCCGTTGCATTCCTAATTATTTGTTTCTTTAAATGTAATGAAGCGTACATAATTGAAAAATCGAAGATTATCAGACCTGAATGTAAATGAATATATTTTTTTATAACTTATTTGTATTTACTTGTTTCAGGAGCACCAAAGAAAGAAATTTACTTCGTGGCGCTAATTGATGTCCTCACGCATTATGGTGTTAGGAAACAGGTATGTGTGAATTAGGTTTTAATAACAAAATGCTTGTCGCATTTATTTTCAATAAGGATAATATGTGATATATTTAGCTATTTAGCTTATTGTAGCTTGTATTTACGTTTAATTTACTATGAGCAGTAGCCTAGAAGCTTTGGGCGTTTGAATGTTATCTCTGAGGTAGCTTCGAACCCTGGTTGTGCACCAATAGTCTTGTCTATGTTCACATTTAATACACACTAGCAAAGGTTTTCCAATATTTTTATTGTGAGGAAACTAACACGCCTTAGACCCATTAGGTCACCTACACCTTAAATTTCACAACACACAGAAATCTGTGTGTTTTTGTCTTGACCTAGGGTTGGAGCACAGATTTATAATAACTTCGTTTAAGAAACTGACATTTCAAAGCTTTAGTCAATTTGTTTTAAGTAATAAATCAATGTCAAAATGGAATCTTAACAAACACAAATTAAATTAATTACATATAACTAAGCTGTATGCTTTAAGAATAGATAATATTGTCTTAGGTTCACAGTATGTACACATCCTTAATAAATAAATATTTGTGTATATATAAATAAAATATAAAAAAAACAGTTCTGTGCCTGACATATGCGGTTCTGATACCGGTTTCCTTCAGCGGAAGAGCATTGTGAAATGCGCACTTAAAAAAGTTTAGTGCACAGCCGTGATTCGAACTCACGACACTCAGGGTTCAGAGGCACACTAAAGCCACTAGGCCAACACTGCTATACGCTCATTAAATTTTAACGTCGTATTAATGAAATAACAATCAATGCTATCGAGCCACTCATGTTAGTAATAAAGGTGTTTGCCCACTATCCCGTAGCATACCATGACCGTGCTAGGAACGTATCCAGCACGGAAAGCAATCCGGTACGCTCTATTTCGCCCACTGAAGCGGGCCGACAGCGTTCTGAACCCGTTTACAACCCGTATGTAACCCGTATTTAATCTGTATGATGCCCGTATGTGACACGGCAGAAATCTTTTCAATACACTCGTAAGGCATCGGTTCATTCTCGTACAAATATCAGTGTTAATATTGGACATTATTCAGGCACTTAGTTGATGACGGAGAAAAGTTTTTTCAGTACTTCCGAATGTGTACATTCAAATTTAACGCATTTAAAACGGGTTTGTAACGGTCATACTCCCCGCTCAGTCACCGGTCTGGCAACGTCGCGTGCCATGCACGTACCGTGTCCGCACCGGCAAAATATTCCCTCCGACGAATAGTTGACGGCCCGTGCATGGCACGCTACGGTGTCGGCCGGTGACGGAACGGTCTAGTGGGCATGGTCTCATACTTCTCCATACAAAGAATAGTTTTTTGTCTGAAACGGTCCTAGTACGGTCATGGTATGCTACGGGATAGTGGGCAGAGAGCTTTAAAGGGAATATACATGTCTAGACTCAGCGTGAACCTAAATGTTTAAAATTCATAATAGTATAAGTTAATTTGGATTTTTTACGTCGCAAGGTTGCAAAAAATATATAAACACTAATTACATAGAACCTTATGATATATAGTTCTTTTTCGGGCTTTTTAAGAACCTAATATCAATGTGGCACAAAGGTTGATTTACGAAATCAATGAAATACTTAACACGGACAGATTCTTACCCCGTACACAAATAGTTTAATACATTGAATTCTCTCAGTATTACAACACTAATCAATCAATACAAATAAGAAATTTTGTAACTAAAAAATTTGATTTATTGTTATGTTGACAACACTGTTACGCCATTATAATTTGATAGTGATCATCTTGATACTTAATATGCTACAAAACAAAAATTAAAATTATATAATTTTAGTCAATATTAAAAAAAATTAAATGACGCTAATAATAATAAATAATTACTATTATTATATGACACTTTGTTCATGACAAAACCCCTATATTTGCCTAATTGTCTAGTCTTCTATACAGATTTCTATATAAACTAATATTGTCTTTCACAGGCGGCAAAAGCGGCGAAAACGGTAAAGTACGGCAGCAATGTTGACGGCATATCGACCTGTGACCCCGAACAGTATGGGAAACGCTTCATCGAGTTCGTAGCTAAGGCCATTGAAGGGAACTAAGTACAACGTCGGTATTTTGTGCCTCTTTTAGTGCCAATTGGTTGTCAGTACGACAAACCCATATTTCAAAACTTCACTGTCAACTGTCAATGTCAGCCGTCATAACATATAATATGTGCGACTATACTTTATATATTGACGAAGTATGTTGACTTCACCACTGTTTACTATATATATGTTCAGCTTCATGGCAATAATGTGCTGTACATAGTTAAATTTTGTTTTAAGAATTTCACATATACATACATATTTCAGATACTTCTAACAAAATTTTTAAATTAAATTTTTGTTATTAAAAAAAGTTAGCTTGAGTCGTTTTTCCATAACTGATTTATGGATAAAAAAATGGCTGCATCACTTTGTATAGCTGTGTTTATAAGTAAACATTATTTTAATTAGAAACGCAGTTGATTCCTTTATTTAAACGTTATTTTGTATTTTGTTTTTAAAGCATTATAGTTTTGCTAGAATTTTGGTAAGGTTCCCGATGGTAGGAAAGTTCACAGGGTTGTAGGTTAACTGACTGAGCACTAAAAGAGGTATGATCTTTTTCAATCAAATATCTAAACTGGATATGTCTTACTTGGAAGTGTTGACTAATAAAGCTTCAAGAAAGATAAATAATTTATAACTTCTAGTGAGAAAGTAATTTTTAAAGAGAGTACTAAATACTAGAGACTGTTTCTTAGTAATTGTTAGTAGGATTTTAGAGTGGGTAACACTGCGATGCGCACAGTTCCGCTAGTACGTTACATATTTTAACAATTTTGCCCATGTCACGTGACACTATTAACTTTGACAAGTGTCAACTGTCTAACGCAGAGATTAAGTGCGTTTTCCAATTACAGAGCATTTTTCGACTCAGTGCCGCACAATGCCGCATAATGCTGAAGCTTAATTGGAACGTGAATTAGTTTTCAAATGCATCAGCAGAGTGCGCTAAGTCAGTGTTGACAAAAAAATGGTCTGAATAGAGTTAGCAACCTCATTAATGTATAAATAATGTGGTAAACAATAATAATTGGTTGAAAACTTTTTACGCTTAATTTAATAATCAAATTATTTCATTAAATTTTTTTTACTGAAATAAGAGAAAACCTTTAAAGAATATAAGGTTTTAACAAGCTAAATTAACAGTAAAATATTTAGTTTCATGTAAGAAGTTTACGTTTTGAGTAATATTTTTTAATGATTTCTAAAAAAATATATACTTTTTCAAAACCATTGCAATTTTTTCTAAAGTATAATCCTGTAAAGTAAATTTGTTTACAGATCCGAATTTTAAAATAAAATTGTATTCATATTTTAAATGTGGAATATAAAAAAAGTAACTATTTATACCTTCATCCATACTAATATTTATTTTTTTTAGCAGTTTGAAATAACTTTAATTATTTTCAAAATCTACGACGAAACGAAAGCCTTACAAATTTTTCAACAATAAATAATATTTACTAACGAAAATTCCGATAAATGCCAACTTAAAGAAAAATACTGGTCAATTTTCTGTCACTGTGTTGGTATTGTTTGCGAGAGCATTCGTTTTGAGAGTGCTCAATTGTGCGAAGCGTTGCTGTAGTTGGAACACTCAACGTTGAGCATTATGCCGCAAAATGCGCTCTAGTGCTGTAATTGGAAAACGCACTAATGCAGTTTTAAGTAAGCGCAATGTGGTAGCGAAATGTTCGCTGAGTTGCTAACTCTAAATATATAAGCAAAGTTCTACTGTTCTAATAACAGAAGTTATAAATTGTTATAGATTTTTTTTTGCATTTGGTATACGTGTCTCGGTGATTAGCCGGTAATACGGAATACCGGTTTTGTCTCAAAATATTTTGGATTGTCGAAAGTGCCATAAGGTATAACACGAGTTTAACACGCAGTTAGTAATACATATTTTGTGTATTGTTCCAGTTAAAATTTGACTTTGATTAGCAAATTTAAAAATTAAAATGATCATAATAATTCTTAAATTATAATATGATTAGGGTACCAATTCAACTTTAGGCGAAAATATGTGTGTATCTCTATATTACATTTGTCAAAATAGCGAGCCGATATTTATGGTTTTTATAGATTGTGAAATGGTTAACATTCAGGTGGTATATGTGGTGCCCTGTATATGTAAATTTTAGCGACATTTTGTTGTTTTTCAGAGCTCAATACAGACGTGCAATTTTAATTGCGTTTCGATTAAAACACATTTGAACTGATCTTGCACATTTGCAATATTTTCCTAACTCGTTGCTAGCTTTTATAATGTTCCGCTATAGAGTAGACGCTGAGAAATTTATAATTGTTAAATTATCTTTAAAATTTCGTGTTGGCGAGAAGTAGAGGAGAATGTGGTACCTGTGTAATTGTAGTAAATTAAAAAAAAAAGTGTTAAAGCGCCATCTAGCGAGAGAACTTTAATTGCACAGGAGAAAAAGTTAAAAGGCGTTTCGTGGTACCAATTGAGAGATAACTTGTGTACATTGAAATTGTATGTACGGTAATTAAACGCTATAAATTATAACTTTGCCAATATTATTAGCTTAGTTCTTCTCTAGTGTAGTCGAAATTATTGTAAGGTTTTTGTTATTTATTATTCTAATGGGAAGACTTGGATTGTTATGGTCTACGTGAATATTAGGAAATAGTAAAGTATTAAAGACTTTTATTGTTTCCTTAATTTCAAGGTATTGATGTTAGTATTAATAAGTTGAATTCATGTCCGTGTACCAAAAATTATTACTTCATTCATATAACAAGAGATCAGCACATATTTTTCTAGGACGATTATACCTAAAGCGTTGTAAACGTTACCAATTTCATTTTGTGGATTGGAATATACCATCCGACATCATTACAAAAATACGTCAAAAATGCACAATTTGAATATTATCGGCAATATGTTGTATGTAGTTTTATGTGCTATATTAAATTTTATGGGCGAAATCAGACTTATTTATTCCAAGTAAAGACAATTTGTGTCAAAAAATCGTCCAGCGTTGTAGTTAAAGTACTCAAATTAAATTATTGTCAGTTTACTAATTTTAAAAAGTTAATTAATAATAAACATGAGAAGTACTTTTGTTTTCAACTTTACCTCAAAGGGTTGAATGTTGTATTCGCCTATGATTTAAAAAAAAAAAATATGTATGTAAACTGCAAGGTGTCAGGATAGTAGTATTTTATAAAATAGCTTTGCTACTGTTTAATTATTGTAATGTTTATCCTCTAGTCTCAATCTTGTAAAGACAATGTATGAAAATTAAAGAATTTAATTTTTTAACATTCGGTTTATAAAGTTTCTGTCAATTTTTGTTTTATTTATTACCTATATTAATTTTTTATTAGTTCAGAAACATCTTTAATATTTTCATGAATAGAAATATTCATGAAAATATTAAAGATTTTCATTTCATTTTTTCATGATTGTACACTTTATGGTAATTAAGGTCATCATATTAGATAAAGATCAAATCTTTAAAAGTAGTCCTATAGTATATGGTAGAAATTAATAAAAATAATATTTTTTAATTTTTATTAGTAAACACAGTAAAATAAACTAATCCATCCTTGTCTTAACATGCTTCTCAGTGATTTTATCTTTCTCAACAATGTATACGACTGCACCCCAACCAGAAATTGCATCACGATCAGCAGCATTAACCAGAGCCTGTGGGTTAAAAAATGTCAAAGTACATGAGGATATTTAAAAAAATAAATTTTCACCAAAATATAGTTTGAAAAAATATCTAAGTAAAATGATGCATCCAATGATTTAAATCTTGCATTTCTTAAGTCAAGTCAAAAATCATTTATTCATGTAGGTAACACAATGTACTTTTGAACATTCTATGCATAATATAACATACCTGTGAGATGGTTTCAAACAATTCATCAGGTTTTAAGTTTGGTTCCCAAAGGGCCTCACACATACCATAGAGTTGCTCCGAGCAAGTTCCTGATACTACAAAGTCCTCTGGTTCGTTGGGACATCCAATCTAAAAAATTTAAATAACAGGTTTGTATAGGCCCAATTTAATAAAATACAGAAGCTTGCAATAATGCACATATTAGCAGATTTAACACATGTAAAATTTATTGTTTAATGTGGCAATTTCATCCTCAGCAATACTTTGATTGAATGATTCAAATTTATAAGGAGACAATCGTGGATAAGTATAGAGTATAAGCTGGATTACATACCAGGTCCATATTACAGACATAGGGTTCAGAAGTGTATGGGTCTAAGCCTGCAATGACAGGTTCAATGAAGTAAGGACCAAACCTCCTCTCATATAAGAGGTTAGAGAGCATTGCAGAGAATGTCTTCGGTTTCATCATTCTATTTTCTTTCAGCTCATATAAATTCATTCTGTGAATACAAGATTGTATTAATAAAAGGGATTTCTATAAACTAACATTATTTGAAATGGTATTGCCCTTACCTGAACTTAAGCCTTTGAAACACTGTTTGTGTGTCTGTAGCAAGCCCTGGCAAACCAACATAAAGAGTTGGCCCCATTTGAAATACTTTCGGGAAATTGGCTGAAACCGTTTGGGCTTGAATACCATATCGCTTGTCGGTTGCAATAGCAACGCAGTCCTGGCCTTTCATTGCAACCACAGCACCACCATTGTAGGCTAATATCGACTGAAATAGTCAATTTTGTGATTACTATCCTACAATTCCTACTTAGAGAGCAATATTTGTTAAGTGTTATCAAAATGAGTAATTGTATGGTAGATGTAAGGAAAACACTAACCAAACGCCGGCCAATTAAAAATAATGAAATATTTTTTTGGGTAAACTTACCATTATTGAAGTATTATTATATTACCAAATATATTTAAATAATTGGACAGGAGGCAATGCAACGTTTTTTTACAAAACTTTTATTTTCGAATTTATGTGATTTACAAAAACGAAAATTGACATATCATCCTCACAGCGCACTTTTCCACAGATTGCACGCTCTGTGTCTGTAATTTACAGTTCTTTAAGTAAATCACAGACTAAGAGATAATTTACATTACAGAATATAAATTTTGTTGTCCATATTAATCAATAAAGTAAATATAAATAATAAATAAGTAATATAAATAGCTAAGGTTAAAAATTAAATTATCATTCCAATGTCTAAGGTTTGATATTCTCTGCCAGTAAGTTTCAATATTGTACTACACATATTAATGAATGAATCAATTAAATACAATATAAAAACGAAATAATAATAATTTAACATATATATCTAAAAACTTGAAATTTAAAAAAAGAGTGTATTAAAAAAAATATAATTTAGGTTACTTAGATTTAAATTGATATATGTAAAAATAATAGAAATGAGGTTATATTATAATTAAATTTTATTATTAATTGCTATATCTCATAGGACTAAAACAGAACGTATTTTACAATGATTTACATCTGTTTTAATTTGCGTTTTCAGTAGAGTTTTGAAGACATTCAACGTACATATCTAAACGAGAAGTCATATTAAAACCCCATCGGTCTTTAACTTGTCTACAAAGATTTAAATCAATTTCCATTATAAGTAAGCCATCTTTGTTTCTAGATAGCATTGGCGTTCTAGACCCATCTGGCGCTGTTACGTAACTTGAGCCATAATACGACCTGGTTATCTCCTTGTCATTTACAGTAAACATCTCTGTGCCAACCCTATTGACACTACATGTAAAAAACCCATTGGCGGTTGCTGCATTTCTAGCTTCTATACCCCAAAACGACTCCCCGAACTCGGAAATAGTTGCGGAAGGATTGAAAACTATTTCTGCACCGTTTAAACCAAACATTAGCCAATTAAGTGCATGATGTCGACCATAGCAGATGTTTACAGCAATTTTAGCATATTTTGTCTCAAAAACAGGATGACCGGTATTGCCAGGCGAATAATAGTTCGTTTCATTGAAGCTTCCCACACATGGCAAATGATTCTTGCGATGTTTTCCCAAATACTCACCTCTTTCGTTAATTACAACAGCTGTATTCCACCAAACACCGTTTTCATCGATTTCTAAGATAGGGGATATAATGACCACTTCATACTTTTTAGCAAATTCACTCAAAAACCTTGTGCTTGGGCCATCCTTAGCTGACTCTGCAAAACCAGACCATGCTTCTTTTTGCCTAGTGCACAAAAAGAATGGCATTGACCAGGTTTCTTGTAGGCACAATATACGTGCCCCTTCTGAGGCTGCTACCTCTATTATTGTCCGTACTTTATCGAATATGGCTGACCTTTGTTCATTGATAGATTTATCAGTCGTCAAGACAATAGAATGTTGTATTAAACCAAGTCTTATAGTTCTCGGTTCTCTAAGCTCCTCTCTGGCTGCTTTAAAAGAGTATCCATCTACTTCAAAATTATGTATTTCACTTGCCAATTTTGTAGCATCTTTCAGCTTTAGTTCACAATTCTCACTTCCGTAATATATTTTATTAAATAAAATAAAATAAAATAAAAAATAAAAAGCCTTTTATTTCCCAATTAATAAGGTACATTTCTTTATGTGGTTTTCTAAACCTTTGCAAAACTTAACAAAATCTATTAGTAAATGAATAAGTATTATGACTATATTTCTATCATGCTAAGTATTATTATTTACAGTTTTTGATATTTTAATTATTGTATGGGAACCCCTCTTCAGGTGAAGGCCTCTTCCAGCTTTTGCCAGTTTTCTCTATTTTGCGCTATGTGCTGCCATTTGGGGCCAGCAATTTTTTTAATATCTTCTTCCCAGCGTGCGAAAGGTCGCCCTCTGCAGCGTTTTCCTTTAGAGCTGGTTAATTAGATTGTTTTCTTCGGTAGATGAGTTGGTTTTTAATGGTGTTGCTGGAAGGTTTTGGTCGTAATCTTCCTCGGTGACCGGCCGTCTTGGAAGATGTGATGATTCATTTTTGTTAAGTTTATCTATGTTGTGTTTGTACACTGAATATTTTATTAAACTCGTTTAAATTAATGTCAGATAATTTTTCTTTCAATATTTTGTCAAGAGAACGATCCATGATACATGATTGAACAGTTGTTTTGCGATAAGTGCGTGATAAGTTACATAATACCTTTGCGCCGCAAACTGGAAGTTTATTTAATCATAGTATACTTGATTGACTATTAACTTGTTTTGATTCGCCTTTAGAATGTTTTATGAGCTAGAATATCTTAGAGCTTAAACCTGATCACGTAGGCATGCATTCAGAACGTATTACTTATTAAAACATAAGTATAGGTTGTATGGTAAAAATAGTATTATGCAATAATTCATTCTTGTTTATGTTGTACCAACTAAGTAGATATTCATTTCTGCTTGTTAATAAATTGTTGATATTAAAATTACTTGAGTTATCCTCAATTGAAAAATAATTATCTTCCACACATTTAAAAAGGTTAATTATGGCTTTCTTATTTGTTCTTTATTTGCTTTATCTAGTCGTAAATATTCTAATGAGATGTCGCTAACGGGAAAGCAAATATTTTTGTTAAGATATTGTTTTAATCGTATCATTAAGTAGGGGTTAAGGTCAGTGCTTCAGCCAGCCACCCACCGTGATAAACTACGTCCATCTCATTAAATGCACTGCACAAACTACCACAGTAGTGGAAGCTATTTAAGGCCGCGATTGATCGAGAAAATCTAGTCATACTACCTTCACATACCAGACCGGACGCTCTAAGCATGGACGGAGAAACTAAGAGTCTCGAATCTATTATTGACAACAATCTAAGCAGTCATGACTTAGAAGAGTTCAACAGAATTTATTACGGTCGCAAGAATCACCACGAAGTTCCATTAAAGGACACCTCAATCGCTGCTGCTAAGGAAAGTGACTTCGAAATCGCAGCCTACGCTTTCCCAGCTAAAAAAGAACACACCAGACCACCTAGGATTGTCAAGGTAGGAGTTATCCAACATTCCATTGCTATCCCAACTGATCGTCCGGTTAACGAACAGAAGAACGCCATATTTGCAAAAGTTAAGAAAATTATAGATGTAGCTGGTCAAGAGGGAGTAAACATTATCTGTTTCCAAGAGCTATGGAACATGCCTTTTGCTTTTTGCACACGAGAAAAACAGCCCTGGTGCGAGTTTGCCGAATCAGCTGAAGAGGGGCCGACAACGCGTTTCCTTCGAGAATTGGCTATTAAATACTCTATGGTTATCGTATCTTCTATACTTGAGAGGGACGAGAAACATGCAGATATCCTGTGGAATACGGCCGTGGTTATAAGCGACAGTGGTAATGTGATTGGGAAACAGCGCAAAAACCACATTCCCCGCGTAGGCGACTTTAATGAGTCCAACTATTATATGGAAGGAAACACTGGACATCCGGTTTTCGCTACCCGTTATGGTAAAATTGCTGTAAACATTTGTTTCGGCCGTCACCATGTTTTGAATTGGATGATGTTTGGGCAGAACGGCGCTGAAATAGTCTTTAACCCATCAGCGACGATAGCAGCAGAGGCTGGGAGTGAATACATGTGGAATATTGAGGCTAGGAACGCCGCCATAACAAATTGTTACTACACAGCTGCGATAAACAGAGTTGGCTATGAAGAGTTTCCAAATGAGTTCACTTCGGCGGACGGAAAGCCTGCCCACAAAGACATTGGACTATTCTACGGCTCCAGTTACTTCACAGCTCCCGATGGGGTGAGATGCCCAGGTCTGTCGCGTAACAAGGATGGGCTATTGATCTCCGTGATGGACTTGAACTTGAACCGGCAGATTAGAGATCGTCGCTGCTACTACATGACTCAACGTCTCGATATGTACGTAAAGAGTCTGAGCAGAGTCCTAGAACTGGACTACAAGCCCCAAGTTGTTCACGAGAATGATAAATGCAAAGAAAAGGAATAAATATCAATAACTATTAAAGATATATTTATATATTGAGGTGTTATTTGTTACTTAAAATAATATAATTGAGTAATACTTATTCTATATTGTATTTAATAAATTACATGTTATTTGTCATTAATAATTTTAATAAATTTTTGAGTAATATTTCTTGTATTAATGAAAATAATGTTCCAGGTCAACCTCTTCCTTCGGGTTTCTTGAAGTTGGGTAAATAATTAAAGGATACATTTCATTCATGTGTTTTGTTTCATTCATGTGTTTTGCGTAATAATGTTTATATTCATTATAACATTCTAACATCTACAATCTAGATACAATATAGTTTGTGAGTGTGTATACACATACACAGGTATATAGGAAATATTTTAAATACAAACTCTCTAAAGCTAGTTTATTTTGATCTCATTATAATATTATGCATATAGTATGATATATTTGATTCTGGTTAATATTATTACATATTATATTCCGGTTTCCACGTGAAAAAAGTCGCGCTGGAATTGCTTGGTTTTTAATGAGCATGTGAATGACATAGAAATTAATTTATATATAATTAACGGTGAAGCTGGTGACAAAAAAAACAGCGGCGCTGCAACCTTTTATGGATAGATAAGGTCTCTGCCTCAGATTTCTTTATCTGTTTCGTGATCATTTGCCAATCTAATAGGCAAGTAGGTGTTCAGCATCCTGTCTCTGAGACACGCCGGCGACTGTCGGGTCTAAGGCAAGTCGGTTTCCTCACGATGTTTTCCTTCAGCGTTCGAGCGAATGTTAAATGCGCACATAGAAAGAAAGTCCATTGGTGCACAGCCGGAGATCGAATCTACGACCTCAGGTATGAGAGTCGCACGTTGAAGCCACTAGGCCAACACTGCACTATTTCTCCGATTATTATGTTATGTATTACTATTAGGTAAAACATAATATTTTTTTAAATTTAATGTTACATTCTCATTTATACAATTCTATGGTTCAGAAACCTTACAATCTAGAAAGATTTATAATTCATATATTTCTGATCTTTCCTTAATTCTAACAACTGCGTAAATAAATCACAATCTACATATGTAGATAGAATAAATCACCTATTAATGAGTGAATCAACAATAACGACTTGATTATAAAGTAGGCTATACTTAAAGTAATCTACTTAGAATAATAAAACGTACAGAGATTGTGTTTATAACCTAAACCTTACAGAATGATAATTGAAAAATTATTTCTTGTCTGTTTAATATGATCGCTTATATTAAGTACATTATATCTTGGTAATTAGAAGATAATTTTAGGAATATATGATCTTATGTTAAACATCGCATAATAAGTTTAAATTCCTATAAAGATTTGAATAGATTCAGCGATGCTAAACTCCAGGTGATAGCGTAAACTTTCATTTAATTTATTAAAAAAGTGCGTGCGTACAAAGTACACATGTTAGAAGTGAAACTTCTTTGACAAACAAATTAAGTCTTGTTATATTTATACAAATCTAAAACTTTTAGATTTCCGAGACTTAGAGAGGGGAGAAAGGAATTAATTAAATTTAATTGTCATTAAAATTCATATTAAAAGTGTCGAAAATTAACAAATTATATTTTTTTTTAAATTTATTTCTTCGTTAATAAAAACATAGCATTTTAATTTCCAATTCGTCATTTGAGATTTCAATAAATTATTTTGCATAAAATATAAAATACTAATAAATTTTCATTAATTTTAATTTTAAGAATTTTTATAAGGTAATTCGCCCTTCTCACTCTCTCTCAGTCGGTTTCAATCTCTATCTCCTTTTTTTGCTCTCGCTTTTCGTAAATAAATTACCCTCATTGCGCCTAAAGAAGTTTCACTTCTAGAAAACTATATAATTATTAATTAGTTTATAACTATAATAAGATAATGCTTATTGTTGGTATGTACATAACCTTTAATAATATTTTGATGATTTATCGAGCAACGCCCTCTTCAGGTCGTGACCGTAGATTTGATATTACCAAAATATTATTGTTTGATATTTATTTAATAATACAAATATATTAGTTTTTATGCATGCCATAACGGTTTTGTGATTAGGTCGAAGACGTTATAATTAATATTATTGTTTCTAGGGTTTCTTGTACCGCGATTTAATTCACATTCCACTTGAGTTAAATTAAAAGCTAATTAGGGGTTTTAGAAAGTAATATTTGAAACTCTGATGTTTTTTCTTTCAAATGTTTGTATTTATTTTTAAATTGTGCGTTGCATGGAATAATGCAAAAAGTTTTTGCGTATAAATTATTAATAACCTA